CCTTTTTTACTGTGCCATTTCTACTATAAGGAGAAACCTTATCTAATAGCCTTTTTTCCTTCTTCTTAGGGACCACAAGGAATCACTTTGAAGGGAAAAAAGTCATTAGCTTAGAGTACGAAGCGTACATACCGATGGCGGAGAACGAAGTCCGGAGGATTTGTGGGGATGTGAGGCGGAAGTGGCCGGTCAGGCACATCGCGGTGTTCCACAGACTCGGGTACGGCGCCCTCATGCCCTGCCAGCTCCCTCCGTGCGGGCGCGGACCCTGCGGTGTCAGGTCCTGGCTCCGGGGAGAGGAGTTAGCGTGTTTCCTGGCAGACGGTGGAGGTTAAGGCTGCTTGTCCGTTGTAACGTTTGCAGTGCCAGCTGCTGTGCCAGGGCCCAGGTGGGCAAAACCCTTGAGCCCGGGCTGCAGGGCTTGTGTCGATCGGGGGGAAGTCCCAGAGGCCGTTAGGGAATTGTCTTCTAGTCTGGACTCTGTTTATATGAAGAAAAGAGACTGTAAAGTACATGCCCTGGAAGGACATTAGATTCGTTTGCCTTTTGTGTCCCTAAGAAGAGTGGGTTCCAGGCTTTGCAAGCGCCCAGCAGGGGAGACTGTCGTCAGGCGCAGCGAGTGCTGCTTTGTTACGGCGCCTGTCCTTGGATTACAGCGCTGGTGGTCCTGTCCGCTGTGTGTTGCTGTTTGACAGTTAAGTTCTCTGCTGCTTCGCCAGTTGGTGACATTTCTCCGGCACCGCCGGGCGCTGTGCCTGTTCGTTTGGCTCAGGCGTTGGTTGACCTGGAGGCCACGTAGGAGGAAGGGGGTGTTAGTTCTGGGAGCTTCTCTGGGTTTTCTCTTCAGGGGTCATGAACCCTTGAGCAGTAGGTTCAGAGAAGGCGTAACGTACCCTCTGTTCTGTTGCAGCCTGGTCCCCGTGTCCGAAGCAAGCGTTGTCATCGCCGTGTCCTCAGCCCACAGGGCTGCGTCCCTCGGAGCCGTGAGCTACGCCATCGACGCTCTGAAGGCCAAGGTGCCCGTGTGGAAGAAGGTACCTGGAGGAAGCTCCCGCCTCTGCCTTTGGCCAGGGTTTTCTCAGGGATTTTTGAGCACAAGAGCACATGCAGAGTTTGTGCGTATGTGTCTCCCCCGACTTGCTGACTCCTGTTTTCTTAATCTGAGAAATGGTGTTTATGTAAAACTAGAGGCCCGATGCACGAAATTCCTGCAAGGGGCCCGACCCCCACCCGCCACAGCAGCCGCCTCTGCCTCAGCCCTTGCAGCCCCAGCTTCGTCCGGAAGGTTGTCCGGTCTAATTAGCATGTTATGCTTTTATTATCTAGGATCTTTTTTCCAAGGTTTGTTAACCATGAAAAATATACGCCCCCAGAATGCACGGCACGGAGCCGGCCTCCACAGTGTAAGAGTTGGGGTTCCCAGGCTGCCGGAGCCCTCGGGTTAGGGTTCCCTGAACAAGGGGTCTCCTGTGCAGAGCGGGAATGGTGTGCGGCTACTCGGGCAGTTGCCAGCACAGAAATTCTTCAAGGCACTAGACCTCCCAGGGCTCCATCCTTTTAGAAAAAGAAAAGAAAAGGGTGGAGAAAATGCCCAGTGAGTGGATGTAACCATGTCAGTGGGAGACATACGGGCTCTCTGTGTGCCCAGCCCCGCAGTGAGGGCAAACGGGTCTCTGGTCATAGAGCCTCTCCCCAGCAGCGGCAGCGGCAGCAGCTGTCTGTGCTCTCGGTGGCCAGCACCCAGGTGGGGCTGTAGCAGAGTGCGAGCCGCTGGGCGGTGTGGGGACAGCAGCCAGGGCCGGGGACCAGGGCGGGGGCCCCTCAGTGTCCATGACAGCTGGACCTGACCCGTCTGAGGGATGTAGCCACCAGGCTTTCCGAATGGAAACCAAAGCCCCTTGTTAAAGGGGAAACTGGGGTGAGAGGCCGTGAGTGTGAAGGGACCCTGGCTTAGTGCAGGGTGTCTGGGTGTTTGCTCTGAACCAGGCCACAGTGTCCATAGAGCGGGGGAGCCGTCTGAGAAGGGAGTGGAGGGCACCCCACAGTGAGGGCACCCCATGGTGAGAGCACCCACAGTGAGTCATGAGCCTGGGGCAGGGAGAGGGGACAGCCCCCCGACTGCAGGTGAGAGGGTGGCCTCCAAAGAAGGCCGTGGGTGGAAGGGGAGGGTCCAGGTGTCCAGAGGACAAGCGACTGTGGGTTTGTGTTCCGACGGCAGAAGAGCTGGCTAGAGAGTGAGACGGGAAGGTGGCCTGTCCTTCCAGAATGTGTGGAAATGCTAGTCTGGTCCTAGTCGCGGCCTGTGCTTCGAGGTCGTCTGTGGCGCAGGCGCAGGTGGGCAGGTAGACGCCACCTGCGCCCAGAGCAGCTGTCACCTGTGCAGAGCTTCTGCAGGGTCACCATGTCACAGGCTGAGCCCCGCTGCCTGGGGACCAGCGCAGTTAGAACTGCGGGAGCAGCAGGTGTGTTTGGAAAGGAAAATGCTTAGAACCGAAGATCCCACCTCTTCTGCCTGCCCAGCTGTCCCTGTGCTGGGCCCCAGGGAGTTCGTCCCTTATTCTGCCCCGGCTGCTCCCCTCTGGGTTGGCGTCCTTACGTGGAGGGGACGTGTTCGTTCCTTTCTCTGCTCGCGGTGCCGATATAACCGTCCGGGATGTGGAGAGAGGAGCAGATTCCAGTAGGTGTGATGTCCATCTCCCTCCCTGCTCAGGTCTGTCTGCGTGTATTCAGGTGCTTTGTGTTGAATGCCTGTTATGCTTCTGTCTTTTAGGAAATATACGAAGAATCGTCATCATCTTGGAAGAGAAACAAAGAATGCTTTTGGGCAACCAGCGACTAAATCACTCACGTTGGTGAAGTGGCCGCCTGACCTTGGACCACATTCTGGTTTTCCTTCGCCAGAACTCGGGAGAGTTCAGGCTGAGGTCTTACAGTGGAGGTAGAGAGAGGGACCGCCTTTAGGGGGAAAAGGAAGAATAATTTAAACGCGAGGAAAGATGTCAGCGGTAGACGAATGAACTCATGACTACTGATTGTAACTGGACTCACGAGTCTGTCTCAGAACCCACCCTCCAGCCCCCCTCCCCACAGCCAGGGTGCCGCTATGGTGCTGGCTGGAGGGCGCACAAAGTCATTACTGGACAGTCATGATATATTTTCAGAATTTATATATTTAAAAAGTAAACCAAATAAACATGATTAAAAACGTTTATGAGCAGCATTTTTCTGTGTTTTAAAATTCAGTACTAAGACATGAAACATGTATTTCATACTATGGCGATGTCTAGGATTTCAGAATCTATCATCTCACCATTACTTATTAGATTTTATAAGTTCTTAGTGTTGTATCCGTATACAAATCAGCATGAAGTCACTGTAAAACCAGGGTAATTGACTAGCAACAAGGTTCCTTTGGGTTATACTGTTAGTTGATATTTAAAATTTGACCCTCAGCCGGCCGGCGCAGCTCCCCTGTTGAACATCAACCAGGGGGTCCCGGTTCGATTCCTGGTCAGGGCACATGCCTGGGTTTTGGGCTCGATCCCCAGTGGGGGGCGTGCAGGAGGCAGCCAGGCAATGATTCTCTCTCGTCCTTGATGTTTCTCTCTCTCTCTCCCTCTCCCTTCCTCTCTGACATCAATAAAATAAAAATAAAAATTGATCCACAGCCACTGAAAAAGGAGAATGAGGTGGTTGTTTATTAAAGCACTTTCAGATAGTATCCCTTTTAGCTGCTTAGGCAGCATCGCCATCAGTGAGGTCCTTGATGAGCACCTTCTCTGCAAGGTCTTTGTCCTAAACAAAGGCCCAGCCTCCTCGTGGTCACCTGTGTACTATCTTCATGGACGGGAGTGTATGACCTCCTTATCGGCCTTAAAGCAATAAAACATGGACATAATTTCAGGCGACTGACACCACAGAATTCGCATTATGCATGTTGGGAACGAAGACTAGACTTGCAGACACAGATTGACTGCATTTGGGGTGATATGACTTGTTACATCTAGTGAGACATTGTTAGCATAAGGAATTCACTTTTCCAACCATCCCTGCCTGCCTGCTTGGTGCCAGACACCCGGCTGGTGGTCCCTGCCCCTGACCCTCACATGCAGGGGAAGGGTCCGCAGGCTGCCCCTTCCTGGGCTGCAGGAGCCACGCTGGCGCCAGGAATCCCTGGTAAGGCAGGCTTTTCCCCACCTGTCGATCCAGAGAAACTGGGCTGACGGATCCGGAAGACAGACACACCCTCCACTACCACTCCCTGATCGCCTGGCCTCGGCCTTGCCCTCTCTGGATTCATGCTTCCTTCTTCCGTCCACTACATTTTAGCCCCTTAGGAGAACAAGACAGTGTCATTCATTCTGAAAGCATGTTAGCATGGAGGTACGGGCCCCCGTAGATATTCCCAGGGCTTTGTACTGGATTGTTAATATGTTTATGCACTAAAGCCCCGATGCACGAAATTCGTGCAAGAGTAGGCCTTCCTTCCCCCGCTGCTGGCACCGGCTTCCCTCTGGACGCCGGAAGGGCAGGCACCAGAGACCTGGGCTTCCCTTGCAGCCCCGACTTCGTCCGGAAGGATGTCTGGTCTAATTAGCATATTACACTTTTATTATTATAGATGATTTCACTTATATGTGGAATCTAAAATACAGACTCGTAGATACAGAAAACAAACCAGTGTTTACCAGCGGGGAGAGGGGATCCGGGGTGGATGAAATAAGTGAAGGGATTAAGATGTGCAGATTTCCAGTTGTAAACGTTAGGGGGATATAAAGTCCCGCAGAGGGAATGTAGTCGATGATACTGTAACGCCTGTGTATGGCTACGGCCACAGCTGGTGCAGGGATTTGGGCAGGATTGGTTTGTGTGCTGTCGTTAGGTAGGTCCTCCAGCAGGGGGCAGTAGATCCTGGGCTATAGTCAAAGCAACTTGTGTGAGATTGTATTTGATTACTTTTATTTTGCACAGAACCCAAAAGTGCAATTTGGTTAGTAACCTTTTTTTTTTTTTTTTTAATAAGTTAGGTTGGAGTGGGCCTTCGATGAAAATTAGTCCCTGGTTTTGAATTAGATGAATTTCAATCTTGAATTGGAATCTTAGTTTAGAATATTAAAGGGTTATGGTAGAATGAGGGGGTTTTTAAAAATGCTGTTTGTAGTAACATCCTCAGGTGAGGATTAACTAACTAACAATATATTTTAAAAAATGAATAAAAACATAACCTCAGGAGAGGGTCAGAAATAATAAAAACAAACAAAACCCATAAAGCCTGAATAGCCAGTGAACATCTGAAAAAAATGGTCAATCCCACCAGGAACCAGGGACCAGGGAGACATCAGTTAAAACACAAGGTGTCATTACACACCCACCGGATGGGCAGAAATAACAAAGCTGACATCACAAGTGCAGAGGAGGTCAGGCGACCCGCCCACTGCGGGTGGGAGGGAAACCGGCGCAGCAGCTTTGAAAAGAAGAAAAGAAACGAATGTTCTCTCCCAGGAGTCGTGTTAATGCCCGGAGCTCACCAGACACACTGTGTGTGTGTGTGTGTGTGTGTGTGGTGGGCACAGGAAGCTGCCCTCTGACTCGGTTTCCCAGAACCCGTGGGGACGGGAAGGCGTGAGAGGTCACCTGACGCGGAGCACGGGCGTCGCTGTGAATGGCAGCACCTGGGAGTGAACGTGCCGTCCGTCCGTCTGTCCGACCGGCCAGTCTGGGAGCCTGAGGTGCATCTTGGCTTATGATTTCAGCACATTCACGTCAGCTTGTTTAATCCTTAAAAATGAAAGAAAATACTCAGACCCTCCTGCTCGCTACCGGGATTAGGAAACAGCTGCACAGACGTGCAGGTGCAGCAGCTGCTGGCTCTCCTGCGTCACTCCGTCACTCCGGCACAGGCTCCCGTCAGCTCAGCTGTGCGGCCAGCGCCGCGGAGGGAGGGAGCGGGACCGGCGAAGCTGCCGCCCTGGGCCCGAGAGCTCCGGTGGCGCCTCGGGTCTGACTGTGGGGCCGGCTCAGCGCCTGGGGTCTGAGGTCTGACTGTGGGGCCGGCTCAGCGCCTGGGGTCTGAGGTCTGACTGTGGAGCAGGCTCAGCGCCTGGGGCCTGAGGTCTGACTGTGGAGAGGGTCAGGGCCTGGGGTCTGAGGTCTGACTGTGGAGAGGGTCAGCGCCTGGGGCCTGAGCTCTGACTGTGGAGAGGGTCAGTGCCAGGGGCCTGAGGTCTGACTGTGGAGAGGGTCAGCGCCTGGGGCCTGAGCTCTGACTGTGGAGAGGGTCAGCGCCTGGGGCCTGAGGTCTGACTGTGGAGAGGGTCAGCGCCTGGGGCCTGGGGTCTGAGCTCTGACTGGGGAGAGGGTCAGCGCCTGGGGTCTGAGTTCTGACTGTGGAGAGGGTCAGCGCCTGGGGTCTGAGGTCTGACTGTGGAGAGGGTCAGCGCCTGGGGTCTGAGCTCTGACTGTGGAGAGGGTCAGCGCCTGGGGTCTGAGTTCTGACTTTGGAGAGGGTCAGCGCCTGGGGTCTGAGCTCTGACTGGGGAGAGGGTCAGCGCCTGGGGTCTGAGCTCTGACTGTGGAGAGGGTCAGCGCCTGGGGTCTGAGCTCTGACTGTGGAGAGGGTCAGCGCCTGGGGTCTGAGGTCTGACTGTGGAGAGGGTCAGGGCCTGGGGGCTGAGGTCTGACTGTGGAGAGGGTCAGGGCCTGGGGTCTGAGTTCTGACTGTGGAGAGGGTCAGCGCCTGGGGTCTGAGTTCTGACTGTGGAGAGGGTCAGCGCCTGGGGTCTGAGGTCTGACTGTGGAGAGGGTCAGGGCCTGGGGTCTGAGGTCTGACTTGTGGAGAGGGTCAGCGCCTGGGGTCTGAGGTCTGACTGGGGAGAGGGTCAGGGCCTGGGGTCTGAGCTCTGACTGGGGAGAGGGTCAGCGCCTGGGGTCTGAGTTCTGATTGTGGAGAGGGTCAGCGCCTGGGGTCTGAGCTCTGACTGTGGAGAGGGTCAGCGCCTGGGGTCTGAGCTCTGACTGTGGAGAGGGTCAGCGCCTGGGGTCTGAGGTCTGACTGTGGAGAGGGTCAGGGCCTGGGGTCTGAGCTCTGACTGTGGAGAGGGTCAGCGCCTGGGGCCTGAGGTCTGACTGGGGAGAGGGTCAGGGCCTGGGGTCTGAGCTCTGACTGTGGAGAGGGTCAGCGCCTGGGGTCTGAGCTCTGACTGGGGAGAGGGTCAGCGCCTGGGGCCTGAGGTCTGACTGTGGAGAGGGTCAGGGCCTGTGGCCGGAGGAGCGGAGCGGCCAGTCCCTGCTGTGCAGGATTTTAAGGTCCCGGACGCTGCTCACCGCAGGTGGCGGGAGAGGAGGGGCAGCCCTCCTGCTGAGTCCGGAGTGAGTGCATAAGACAGTGACACACAGGAGTGTGAAGTCCAGAATCCCCGGCGAGAGCGCTGTTTCTATAGGACTTCCGTTTACTCGGTCATGCGGTGTGGACAGAGGGGTGACAGTCACATGACACTCGCTGCTTCGCACACTTTCGCAGGAGCGCGGCCCGAGTCGATATGCGGGTCACTCCTCCAGTGGATGTTTCTCGGAATCAGGTGAACTCACAGCTTTACGTACACACACACACACACACACACACACACACACACACGCACACACACGCGCGCGCACACACGCGCACACACACGCACGCACACACACGCACGCACACACACACGCGCACACGCACACACGCACACACACACACGCACACACGCACGCACGCACGCACACACGCGCACACGCACACGCACGCACACACGCATGCACGCACACACACACGTACACACACACGCGCACACACGCACACACACACGTACATGCGTTTTCATAGTTTTGGTCGAGAGGAAAGACAAAAACTAGTTAATCAAAACCGATAACCATGTTACATCTTAGTACAGATTTATACATTAATATAGGAAAGTATCCAAGACAATTTGCCTTTAAAAAATATACAATTCTCACATAATTGTGCAACATATACATTTATATTTTGAGTTTATCTGCCCAAATGCATCTGGTACAGATGAAACCATCTCTTTATATTTACACAATGGCTACCTTTTTATTCTCGAAGGTTCAAAGTAGTTACATTTTTATTTCAAAATTTACCCCGTGTGTATGACCTTGCCTCCAGGGGTCCGTCCTGCATTGACACAAATGGGTGTTTCTCCACAGGAGGGCGTGCCCTACACCTGTGCACGCGGTGACGTCCCTGTGCAAACTGGAATGCGAGAGACGGACGGAGTTCAGTCTGAGGAGTTCCGCTTTCTGTTGGATGATGTCTTAACTTATGAGAGTTTCCTACACGGGGTAAAGCTGTATGTTAGGACAAGTACACGATAAAGAACTTCTGTGGTAACTTTCAGTATAATCACCTGTGTGATAGGCTAAGTTGGTTCACCGTTTCTTTGCTCTCCCGATAAGGGAGACGGTTACTGTTCTATGAAAAGGACTCCGCCAGCGAGAGACCCTCTCTGCAGCTCCACGTCCTCGCTTTCTGCTAACAGCTCAAGGCCCAAGTTTGAGTCTGCAGTTTCCTCACAAACTGTTCCACTTGGTTCCTATTTGCAGGCTGTAAGCCCTGCCTACAGGGGCCCTGCCTACAGGGGCCCTGCCTACAGGGGTCCTGCCTACAGGGGTCCTGCCTACAGTGGCTCTGCCTACAGGGGTCCTGCCTACAGGGTCCTGCCTACAGGGGTCCTGCCTACAGGGGTCCTGCCTACAGTGGCTCTGCCTACAGGGGTCCTGCCTACAGGGGTCCTGCCTACAGGTTCCTGCCTACAGGGTCCTGCCTACAGGTTCCTGCCTACAGGGGTCCTGCCTACAGGTTCCTGCCTACAGGGGTCCTGCCTACAGGGTCCTGCCTACAGCGGTCCTGCCTACAGGGGTCCTGCCTACAGGGTCCTGCCTACAGGTTCCTGCCTACAGCGGCTCTGCCTACAGGGGCCCTGCCTACAGCAGCGTGTCTCGGTCGCACTCGGCAGGCCTTGCCTGGGCACCGTCTATGACATGGGCACTCAAAGTGGCATCTTCTAAGCCCTACACCATATTTCGTCTCCAAACAAAAGTGTGGCTGAATAGGAACACAAAACTTCTTCTTCAACAAGGTTTTTTTCCTTTTTTTAAAAAATATCTTTTATTGACTTCAGAGAGGAAGGGAGAGGGAGAGATGGAAGCATCAATGATGAGAGAGGATCATGGACCTGCTGCCTCCTGCACGCCCCACATTGGGCATCCAGCCCACAACCCGGGCTTGTGCCTGACTGGGAATGGAACAGGATGCTCACACCGGCCGGTTCTTTTCATTTCTCTGATCAATATTCACCTTTGCTTAAAAGTGCTTGAGAAGGACTCATCCATTGGTAAATACAGCCTCTGCCTCTGACCACCGATCTGATCGCAGAAGCCGTGTTCAGGCAGGTGTGGTTAGCAGCGGTTCCCAATCAGGGTGCCTTGGTCCCCGAGGCCTCATGAGGGCTGGAGACAGTCTGGTATCACCACTCGGGGCAGCCTGCTCCCAGCCTGGGCAGCGAGAGGCCCGGGAAGCTGCGGACCATCCCACAGGGCACAGGACGCCCGAGGACATCACCGGGCCCCAGGCATCAGCAGCGCCCAGGCCACACCTGGCTGTGCTGCACGGTGTGGAGCCAGGGGGCACGCTGGTCAGTCTCCGGGAGCCCAGCCCTTCGCGGGAAGAAGGCGGGAAGGCCTCTCCCTGGTCTTGCCCGACTCCCCCCCTGCGTGCGTGACGGCAGCTGAGCGCCCGGTTACTGAGGCGGCGAGGCCGAGGAAACATCCTTACACAGCACCTGGAGGAACGAGTGCATCTGTACAGAGTCACGTGGTCCATCAAAATCCTCTGTCACCTCGTGGCCCGTCTCCTCCATGCTGCTTCTCAATAAAACTTTATTGGGATGAAACAGGTTTCGTCCAAACGGCTGTTCCAGGAATGGGGCTCCGGCACGGCTCACTGGAGAGCACCAGCCATTTTTGCTGTAAACCCAACACTTTACGGTTGTTTTTTCTTCTTCGTTTGGTCAAATACAAAGTAAACCCCTGACCTGCGTGCCCGGGCCTGGCTGCCACGGCCGGGGCCAGGCCAGATCCCATGGATGAATCCCTGTCCTCCCTGACTTCTTCTCAAAGTCAGAGCCTTGAAGGACTATTTGTGTTATAAAAACCCAGGCCCCAGACTTCTATTTTATACATATATACTTATATATATAAAATATTGATTTCACAGAGGAAGGGAGAGGGAGAGCGAGAACCATCAATGATGAGAGAGAATCACTGATTGGCTGCCTCCTGCACGCCCCCCACAGGGGATCGAGCCCGCCACCCGGGCCTGTGTTCTGACCGGGTATCGAACGGTGACCTCCTGGTTCACAGGTCACTGCTCACCCACTGAGCCGTCAGCCGAGCCAAGGGCATCGCTGCTGAGCTGCAGCCCCTGCCTCGCCGGGCCCAGTGGCTCATTGGCAGCTCCAGGCTGCAGCTCCACGTGGCGTCGCCCACGCTGCGCCCGGCCCTCGCCTTCTGCCCAGCCCCACCCTTCGAGGTCCTGTGGGCTCAGAGAGCAGAGGGTGCAGAAGGAAAAGGGGGCCCGTCTGTTCCAGCACAGCGACCGGGCGCTCGTGAAAACAGGGGTTCGGGGCCTCAGCCCACCAACCAGGTGGCGGTCTCGGGAGCTGGGACCGGGGACTCCAGCTGGGAGGCAGCCTGCAGGTGAGAGTCATTCGGGGGTCGGTCCGGGAGACGAGATGGACCAGCCCCGAGGACGCCTGCTCCGGGTGACGCCCAGCACCCCGTGCCTGCTCCCAGGTTCCTGAGACGATGTCCTGCTTTGCCTTCCACACACCCTGGAGCTCCAAGGACTAGAAATTCACTCGGCGCGGGGTTCCTGCCTCCTCCCCGTGGGGAGCAGAGCCTGGGGGAGACGGTGTGTGCACACGGGGGGTGACCGCAGCCACGCAGGGACGAGGCTCCAGGGCTCCAGAGCAGGGCTCCCAGGGCGGGACAGGGCTCCGTGTGGAGGCGGGAAGGTGCCCAGGACTTGGCTCATCTTTAAGAAGTCACAAGGACCCTGCCGGCAGCCAGGCGGCCAGCTGTGGCCCTCAGGGAGGGGGAACTCCCCCGTCCCCCGACGTGGTGGCCCCGGCAGGCGGGTCGTACCAGCAGTGCAGGCCGCAGTGTCTTGTGCTTCGGCCTCTAACCTCCCTCACCCCCGGGATGGAGACCTGCTGGCAGGAGGCGCCCCAGGCACTCGGCGGGTCTCCGTCAGTTCATCGCAGGAGAGGGGGAGGGGGCCGCCGGGCCAGCAGCTGGGCCCCTCGCTGTAAACTCCGTTCTCACAGAAAACTGGCAACTTCTGCCGGGAGGGGACGACCCGCTGTCCTTCCCCAGCGTCAACATCCGAGCTCGTCCTATGTCTTCACCAAACGTCACTTCTTTTAAAAACAATCGTTTCACACAACCGATCCCCCTCCAATAAAACTCCGGAGAAAGGTTGTGTTTTGTGGAAGACGCGCCGTGTCTGCAAGCACGTCCCCTTCCGACAGGGCACCGTCACCGTGGGCGCCGGGGACCAGCCGGCGTAGACACTGCCCACAGCAATAAGTCCTTTACATAAACCTCTAAGTTCCCACCCTCCCATCCCCCAGTTCTTTTTTCCAAACTGACCTGCAGTTTTCTTGAAATAAAATATTAGACTAGTGCCCCTGAGACCTCGCCCAACCCTGGGTTTAAAACAAAGCCTCGCCTGCAGCAGGCGCTGGCGGGAGGCGGCCTGTCCCCCGGGGTCCGGCCGGCGCTCGCTCAGCTGTTGAGTTCCATGGTCTCGTCAGCCTCGTCTGGATTCTTCATCATTTTCTCGTATTTCCTCTTGAAGAAGCCGAGCTGTGGGTGACGGTGTGAAACGTTACGTCGGTGGCTTACTGCGGGGGGCTCCCCCTGGCTGCCATGGGAACCACGTCTGGGAGCCATGGGCGCGGGGAGGGGGGTGTGGACTGGGACTGACCGGGTATCGGCCGTCAGGAGGACGTTGGGGCCCAGGGAGCTGGGTTCTGTTTATTTGCGGTTGGACAGAACACGCAGGGTTGGATGAGGGGAGGGTGGGAAAGGGCAGGCCAGGGACAAGGCCGAGGAGGTAAAATCCTTCGGTGGTTTTTCAGGACCTGACCTTGCACTGCCCTTTCTCTTGTGGTGGAGGAGGGGCTGAAGGGACGGAAGGCTGATGTCTGACCAGGACGTTCATGACAGAGGCCCCGGGAGCCTCGATGCTGAACGAGGCCCGTCTTACCTTCCACAGAACGGCCACCAGCACTAAGAGCAGAAGGATCCCGGCGACGACGCTCCCCACGATCACCCCGGTGGGGACTTCGGCCTTCTCGTGGGGCTTCGTGATCGTGATGGGAATCTGCCAACGGGAACACACGACAAGGGAGTGACCCAACCAGAGCAGCGACAAGAAGACGGTCTGGCCAGCCACGCTTTCTAGCCCCACGCACGGCGTGTAGGAAGGGGCCGGCTGGCTCAGGGCCATGTCCCCGGTCACACGCCAGGCAGTACCATCTCCAGAGGAAACGCTCCCGCCACGTCCAGCAAGGAACCCGGAGCCAGTTCCCTCCCCCTAACCGCATCAGCACCTAGCGATGTCACCGCTGGCGACCCCAGCGGCCGGAGTCACCCAGGACACGGCCTGTCGGTGTGCTGCACTGTCTCCTCGCCCGGCGGCAGCGTTCGGAGCTGCTTGGGGAGGGGAGTCAAAAGCCAGGTCAGCACCCCCAACCCCTTGCGATTAAACAGCAGAGACAGGACTGGGAAGCGGGCTCCTGAGCTCTGACCCCATGGGGCCCCCACCAGGTCACCTGATAGGTTGCTAAACGTAGACCGATATGTCGGGCTTGGGTTGTTCCTTTCAGCTATGAAATTGTCCTTGAGGCCAACAATGATTCTTTTTTCTTAATTGATTTTTTTTGAGAGAGAAGAACATCTATCGGTTGCCTTCTATCCGTGCCCCAACCTGGGCTTGAACCTGCAGCCAAAATATGTGCCCTGACTGGGAATCGAACCCGCAACCTTTAGGTGTATGGGACGATGCTTCAGGCAACAGAGCCACCGGCCAGGGCTACCTGTGACTCAGTACGTCCACTCCTTTGTAGCCTCTGCGTGAAAGACTGTGGTCACGACCATTTCCGCCACAAGCATGTTCTCCAAGAGCCGAGGGGACGAGGCCGATTCAGCCCCTCGACTGAGCGGTGAGCCTCGGGGCACAGCGCTGCCGCTCAGCCGGAACTCGCGAGCTGGGCTAAACTGGGTCTCACCTCTGGGTGACCATTTCTTTCCATTTGCATCTTCAAGCGCTAACACGGGCTCTGTAAGTGCAGGGCTGCGCGACTGTGAATCCACACAGTCCACGCAAGGGGGCATCTCTGCTCCCTCGGGGCCCGAGCCCCCGAACCGGGGCCCACGGAGCGACAGGGACCAGGAGCATAAGTTACTGGGTCCGACTGTCACATGGGCTGGGACTCACATAAACTCCAGGGTCCCTTACTTACCTACAGGGGGATGTCCATCCATTATTCGGATTCCAAATGTTATGCAAAAAATTACCTAATTTTTATTTGGAATCAAAAACTATTTTCATAGACACGATAAAGTGGTAGCTAGCCTTTGTTATTTCTTGGCATTGCTCAGAGAAAAGCAAGGGAAAAAGTTTCCTAAAGGGATCACTAAAATTCATTTAAATTTCAAGCTACTGGCTTATGTGACTATACTATTTACCATTATTTTGGATTGTACTCTTTCTATTTATAAAAAAAAGTTTACTCTAAAAAAAATAACATAAAAAATAAATTTCAATTAATGCATTCATCTCATACTGCTTTCTAAATAACACACACACACACACACACACACACACACACACACACACACACACAAAACCAAACCTTCAGCAAAGGGCCAGGCTCTGGCTGAACACTCCATGTTTCTAAAATGAACTTTAAAAACTACCTCCAGTGAGTCGCCCCCCCCCCCCCCCCCACTGCCCCCACTGCCCCCAGCCTATGGTGCCAGCATTGTGACTGAGAGGGCTTTCCTGGGGCTCTATTTTGGATTTCCCATGCCCTGGCCTCGCAAGAGGGGCGGTCCCTGGGGGAGGGTGTGGTCCCTGGGTGAGGGTTTGGTCCCTGGGGGAGGGGGCGGTCCTTGGGGGAGGGGGCGGTCCCTGGGGGAGGGGGCGGTCCCTGGGGGAGGGGGCGGTCCCTGGGGGAGGGTGTGGTCCCTGGGGGAGGGTGTGGTCCCTGGGGGAGGGGGCGGTCCCTGGGGGAGGGTGTGGTCCCTGGGGGAGGGGGCGGTCCCTGGGGGAGGGTGTGGTCCCTGGGGGAGGGGGCGGTCCTTGGGGGAGGGGCGGTCCCTGGGGGAGGGTGTGGTCCCTGGGGGAGGGTCTAGACAGGCCAGCGTCCTGTGTGTGGAAGCTCTTTCCTGGTACAAGTGAGGGAAGCGCGGGCTCTCGGCAGTGAGGCCCAGAGGTCATGGCCACGGCCGGGCACAGGTCCGCGTGGCTGAGGCACGTGGCCGTCGGCCGAGGGGGAGAGTCTGGAACTGCCTTCTGATTCCAACAAGGGCTTTGGGAGGAAGAGGCCCAGGCCCCCCTGCAGGTGGCGGGCGTGGGGTGCGCTGCAGCGAGGGCGGCACCTTCTCCCGGAGCTGCGCCAGGGAAGGGCCTGCGGCTCGGCCAGCAGCCTTGGCTTCTCCCAAAGCAGCTGCTCTGCGAACCCCCTTTCCTCCTCCGGGAGCCTTGTAGTTCGCAGACGGTGCGGCCCGAGGAGTGGGCGCTCACAGAGTGGCGGTGCCCGCCGGGAGGAAACCACTAGGAGAAGCAGCCTCGGGGACGCCTGCTTACCCAGCGCACTGGGCACCGCCCTTAAACGCGCTCGAGTGGGAGTGGGTGACACGGAGAGCCTGGCGGGTGTCAGCAGAGGGGGCAGGAGCCCGGGCGCTGGCCTAGGCCCCGACATGGCCGAGCAAGATGGGCGGCACCCCTCGTGGGGTCAGGGCCTCTGACCCAGCTCCGCCAGCACCCGGGGAGGCTCACCGCAGAGAACGGGCTGTCGGAGTCCAGTGAGCTGCCCGTCCCCACTCCCAGCCTCCGGGCGGGACGCCGGCCCACCCAGGCCCCGAGGGCCGCTCACCGTGACCGTGTTCTCCTGGATCACGTAGACCTGTGGGTTGTAGGTGTCAATCTCCGCCGAGGCCGTGAGCTGCACCGTCTGGAAGGTCGCCTGCGAGGTGGGAAGAGGGACAGGTTTCATCCCAGCGGGAGGGCAGGCACGGGACGCGGCGGGCGGGTCATTCATCAACTGCCGCGTGGAAAGCGACAGAGCAAGTGGCCATCTGAAGACGCCAGACACTCAGCGTCCCGAAGCCGGGGACACGTGACGGGCGCACACGGCACGTGCCGGGACTCCCGCGGGGGTGGCCGCCCTGCGGTAGCGATCAGTCCTCTCTCCAGGTGACTCCCCCTTAAAACACGGCTGCAAAGCCAGGGTTAGAAGTGACGTTTATCTCCGGGAAAGGCCGCAGTGCAGATTTCAGAAAACTTAAGTTTGCGGCCTGAAGGAAAATTGCAAACCCCCTCCCTTTTTTAGAGACTCGGATACAGAGAACAGACTGTCGGCGGCCAGAGGGGAGGGGGTGGAGGGGTTGGGTGAGAAGGTGAAGGGACTGAGAAGCGGATGGCAGCTACAGGACAGTCCCGGGATGGAACGCACAGCGCGGAGAACACAGGCAGCGACATTGTGATAACTACGTACGGGGCCGGGTGGGCACGTTGTAAAGCGTATGATTGTCTAACTGCTGTGCTGTATGCCTGACACCAACACAAAACAACACTGAATGCAGACGGTAACAGAAAAATAAAAATACTAACTCGATAGCTGTTATTTATTTGCCTGCGTAAGTGATAAATGGGATGGGAGAGCGGGTTGGAAAGGGAAGAGAATGCTTTCGGGGTGCACGGTAAAAGGACACTGCTTATCGTGTCCTTGAGCTCGACCGTACGTGTCCACAGCGGACACCCCTAACCTTTCCTCACGCTGTGTCACAAGACTAATCATTTCAGGTTTCCCAATGTAGGCATTTCTATAAAAAGCACCGGATTTGGGGCCGGCCTACAGAAGGCACGTGTAGTTTATGCTGGCGTTTCTAGGAACCTATTATGAAATAACTTTACATGCATTCCTGGATCTACTATCAAAATAAACCATTTTCATGGATACATCATGGATGTGCCTGTTCTATTCTCTGTGATGTGAGCGCTGAACTAGAACAAAGTGCCTGGATCTGAGAGCTGCCCACACCCCTGGCTGCCAGGGGCACAGGAATTAAGGGACCCCATGAGGGCATTTGCTGGTGTGCCTGGAAGCCAGAAGGGGAGCAGTGAGCCTCATGTCCATGGCCTCCATCCTCCCTCTCTCAACATGGGTACTGCATCCGAAACTAACCCTGGTCCCTGGTCTCTGAAGCATTCCTTCCTGGGGGAACAGCCCGGCTGGTGTTGACCAAATCAAATCATGGTTTGATTCCTGGTCAGGGCACAGGCCTGGGTTATGGGCTTGATCCTGAGTAGGGGGCGTGCAGGAGGCAGCTGATCAATGATTCTCATCATGGATGCTTCTCTCTCTCCCTCTCCCTTCCTCTCTGAAATCAGTAAAAATATATTTACAAAAATAAAAAGTGGTGTGCGCACTGGGCTCTCACCAGAGAAGGGGGGGACCAAGGTGGAATGGGTACCGGCTCCAGGCAGAGAGGAACCCTGTGTTAGATCCACCTGCAGGCAGCTGTGAGATCAGTGGGGAGTTCCAGGAGGGGAGGAGCCACGCGCATTGGGTCTGGGCGCACCGGGTCTGGGCGCATTGGAGCTGGGCGCATTGGAGCCGGGTGCATTGGGTCCGGGCGCATTGGGTCCGGGCGCATTGGGCCCAGGCGCATTGGGTCCGGGCACATTGGGTCCGGGCACATTGGATCCGGGTTGGGTCCGGGCGCATTGGGTCTGGGCACATTGGGTCCAGGCACATTGGGTCTGGGCACATTGGGTCCAGGCACATTGGGTCTGGGCGCATTGGGTCTGGGCGCATTGGGTCTGGGCGCATTGGAGCCGGGCGCGGTGAGGACATGGGAAGCCAGACAGTCAGGAGGAGGCAGAGGGAGACAGAGCAGGGCCGTCCCCAGGGCAGCAGTGGGCACCTGGCTCTGTGCCCAGGACTCTGCTGCCGGAGGCTGCCGGAGGCTGAGAAGCAGGTGCCTCTGACCAGGGTGAGCGCTGGGAGGAGGGAGCACAGGCCCCCGGGCGACACCTCTGGCCACAGGGCACGCCCCTCGGCAATGATGGCCCACGGCCCGGGGCGCGGTGAACCGTAACTAGCGGTTACTCACGGCGGCGAAGGTGCCGTTCCAGATGCGCGTGGACACGTTCAGGAAGTACTCGGCCCGCACCTGCGGGTCTCGCAGCCAGCAGGTGACGTTCCCGCAGCGGGCGGTCCTGCAGTTCTTCACGCACCGGGAAAGGGGGAGGGTGAGTGCAGGCTTCCAGAGGAACGGCCCCCCATTACAGCCACAGACTTCACAGCCACAGACATTACAGCCACAGACGCTACAGCCACAGACATTACAGCCACAGACTTCACAGCCACGGACGTTACAGACACAGACGTTACAGCCACAGACATTACAGCCACAGACGTTACAGCCACGGACGTTACAGACACAGACGTTACAGCCACAGACTTCACAGCCACGGACATTACAGCCACAGACGTTACAGACACAGACGTTACAGCCACAGACATTACAGACACAGACGTTACAGCCACAGACATTACAGCCACAGACGTTACAGCCACGGACGTTACAGACACAGACGTTACAGACACAGACGTTACAGCCACAGACATTACAGACACAGACGTTACAGCCACAGACATTACAGCCACAGACTTTACAGCCACGGACATTACAGACACAGACGTTACAGCCACAGACTTCACAGCCACAGACATTACAGCCATGGACATTATAGCCACAGACACTACAGCCACAGATGTTACAGCCACAGACGCTACAGCCACAGATTGGGGGGAGGGCTGCAGGGAACTGGCAGGAGTTCTAGCTCTTCACTGAGCCCCACATGGACAGGCACGCACCCGCCACCTGCCAGTGCCCCTGGGGGGAGGTCCCAGCGTGAAGGTGGGGAGGAGGGTACCCCACGCCGTCTAGTCACTGTTTCTGACAAAAACGCCCCAAACGAATCCGTGTTTATCAACCATTACTGGCTGAGCAAGTCGCTGAATGCACATACGAGAGGCCTACGCCTTAGTCACGCATGAGCCAGAACTGACAGAGACTTTCCTTCCATTAAAGGGAAGCTGAGTAAGAGAATCAGGAGCTGCCTGGGACCGGGGCGGGGAGGGACCGGGGGTGGGGGACGAGGAGCCCTGGGTCAGGGCAGCTGGACACAGGTCGCCGTGGACTTGCCCAAACCAGCGGACTCCACAGCCCCCGAGGGACGCACTGTGAACTCTGACTGGCGTCTCAGATGCAGGTCCATCCCGTGACCAGCACACCATCCGATGGGGGGGGGGGTGTCGGGGAAGCTGTGCCGATGTGGGGGCCGGGGGTGCACAGCAGAGTCTGTACTTTCCACTCAACTTTGCTGGGAACCTAAAGCTGCTCTGAAACATGGTCTGTTTTAAAAAGCCTGTGACAGTCACATGGCCTCTGACATGCATGTAGCAGCGCACACACGTGTCCTGTGTGCATTAACGCTGCGGGCGTGGAGGCGGCTGTTCGTCACACGAGTGCTCAGCTGCTCTCCCTCTGAGAACTGCCGTTTCTCTGTGGTTTTCTGAGTCGCCATCGCCATGTTTGGTTTATGTTGTTCCCACGTAGCAACCGTCATTTTGACACAATCAAACCGTTTCCACGAAAGGGAGGACATGCCGAGGGGCCAGCGTGTCGGCAAACCCTGAGCGAGCTTCTACTGGGAATGCTCAGCTAGTAGACGTCAACCACGTGTTGCCGTGATTACACTCGAACCACGGAAACAGGGAGCGACTGCTCCCTCCTCCCTACCTGTCCACCCCCATCACCCCATAAACAACTTCATCCTGACTTGGGTGTGCGTTTCCACCCCTTGATTCATCCTGGCTGAGAAAGGCACATGGGAAACCTATGACATTCGAGGGCAGGGGTCAGGGGGTCGGGGGGGGGGGGGAAGGGCTTCATTTCCAGGCGACTCTGACAAGAAATCCCCACGGGAACTGCCCGCACGAGCCCGTCCTCACCAGGTCTTTGAGGTGCCGGAAATTTTCGCTCTTGAAAGACACAGAAGCCGGCGTCTGTCCTATTTTCAGCGGGTCCACGTCGGCACTGCAGCTGATGTCGCCGGCCTGCAGAGGGGGCAGCACGTCAGTCTAGGAGGCCACGCGGTTTGTGGGGTCCCTCAGCCTGTGAGGCATCTACTGGCACAGGTCGGGGCTGGGGGCGGGCAGGCTGGCCTCACTGCCCACCTGGGCCCACTTCTCAGCCTCACTAACGTCACCCCGAGCTCACATGGTCCTGCCTGACTCGGTGGGGCTGCTGGGTCCCACCTGCGGGGAGACAAATTTGCAACAACAACAGACGGAGTTGCCCGGCCGGGTGGCTCAGTGGTTGAGCACCGACCCATGAACCAGGAGGTCAGGGTTCGATTCCCAGTCAGGGCACATGCCCAGGTTGAGGCTCCATCCCCAGTAGGGGGCGTGCAGGAGGCAGCTGATCCATGATTCTTTCTCATCATTGATGTTTCTATCTCTCTCCCTCTCCCTTCCTCTCTGAAATCAATAAAAAATATATTAAAAAAACACACGAAGAATAGCCTGAGTGATGTAACGCAGGGCTCTCTGCTGTGGAGCACTCTAGGGTTTTGATTTCCTGTCGTCCCCTGCGCACCCTGAGTGACATCAGCGCAGCTAAGCACCAGCTGGCGCTGGCCATGTCGGTCCGAGTCGCACTCTCAGCCCGGCTGTGAGGACCACTGGGCCTTGAAGACGAGCAGGTGCTGCGGCCGGAGCCACAGAGATGCCACTCAAGTGCCCGGGGCCTGGGCATCGCCTTCCTCAGACCGCGACGCAGGGACGGACCTGAGCAGCCAGGGCGGACAGGGTGCAGGGCGGCCGCTAACAACAGCCTGTGGGCCGCCTGCCTCCTGTTGGGGCTCAGCTGCCCACCGCCGGCCAGCCGACCTCTGTGGCCAGGGCGCTGCGGGGGGACCCCCCCTGCCCAGGAGGCGCCTCAGGAAGAGCCTCTGCTGTCCACACTGACATTCGCTTTCTCACCGCAGCACCCGCTGCTGCTACGAGATGGACGTCAGGAGAAGAGGGCCCCTTCGCAGTCTCCGTCCACACCTGTTAGGCGGGGCACCCACCCGGCGGGGCCCACCCCGAGGGCGCACGTCGCTCTGGCGCTCGGGCCGCCCTCACCTGGCCCGTGTGCACGCCCGTCAGGTACAGGAGCGGGTTCTTGTCGGTGGTGAGCTGGGGGAGGCGGATGCGGACGGAGGCCATGCTCACGGGGATGCTGCCGGTGGTCACCTATGGGGACGGAAGGACACGCTTTCGCTCCTGTCCTCACAGTTGGGGCGCCGGTCACGTGGCCGGTGCGCACGCCCTCCCGGAGGTAAACATGGTAAGACCCACGGGAATAACACCCTCGTCCCTGCTCTGGGATTAAAGGGTCAGCGCGGCTAAGGCACGGGACCCACGGCCGGCACTGACTACGCTCCCCACGCGTGCTGTTCTGCTGTGACTACTAACGGACTCAACGTCTCGTTACGGAGGCCGTGGCCGGATGCCACGCGTCCTTTCTGCCTCCCAGCACCTGCATCCCAAACAAGGCTCTTCGAAAGGCTCTTCTTAGGAATCACCAAACTGCAGGGCTGCAGCCAGGCAACGGGCTAGTCAGAGATGAACCAAGAAAACTGCACAGGCTCAGGGTGGAGGGTGAACGCCCTTACTTCCCACGGTTTCCCCGTGGTTAAAACAGCTGCTTCAGCAACTTAATGTCTCTTTATGTAACCGACAACAACCTTTAGATTAGCAATTGCTCATACCAGCCGGCCCTGGAGCTGGACTTACACATATTTCCAGATATGCCCAGCATGCCTACAAAACATACTTGTGCACAGACGGTGAGCTCCTCGGATCGAAGGCACGCGGATGCCGCCCCAGAGACTCCGCCCGCACCAAGCCGTGATAGCAACGTTCCGTTGATTAATGTTGAAAACTTTCTTTCGAAATACACCCCTTAGCCCGCACCCAGGACACACAACCATGCACAGCGCCCCGTGTTTAACGCCCCCACCCCCAGGGCCATCTCAGTGACTCTCAGGGTGGCAGCTGGACCAGCAGCATTCCGTGGCCTGGGAGGGAACTCGCTAGAAATAGTTTCAGACCCACCCTCGACCGGAAGCTCTGAGGACGGAGCCCTGAGACCACATGGTAACAAGTCCCCCGGGCGACCTGATGTCCACTCAAGTGTGAGAGCCACTAGCACATTTCAACTTCTCCTTCTGTCCTCCTCCCTCCCGATGCCCGCCTTCGGGGCAGGCGCACCAACCTTAACGGAGAAGGCGAATTTGGGGCCGATGTCATCAAAGGTGCGCACCGTGGAAGGGACATGCCCATCCGAGACTTCATAAAAGTTGATGTTGGTCGACCTGTCGGGGGATGTTGGTGAAGCAGACAGGTTAGCGTTGCTGTTCTTCTCGAAGCTTCGTGCTACTCTTACTTACGTACCCCCTGGCTCAGGTGACAAGCAAAAGCGTTTACGTTTAGGGACAAAAAGCTAAATGAAACAAATGCTCCCGATGGGCCACGGGCCAGTGGTCAAGCCTGAGGCTGAAGCAAATCCCTTTCAAAGCACGTCCCTCAGAGATCTTCCCGCGGAATCTCTGTGCTGCGGTATCGCCGGTGGTACCATTCTAACGTGAGCACCAACGCATCGCTTCAGGGCCGGCGGCGGCGCCCTGTGGAGATCGGGCCACACGGACTGTGTGTCACTCAGTAGACACTTGTCCTCGGTGAGGGATGAGTGACTGATGGGCCGGAGGGTCTCCCACGGGGTGTGGCTGAGCACGGCGATGAGCTCGGCCGGAGCTCCGGCCGGCACACTCAATCCCCGGCGCCGCGAGCCAGGACCTGCGTCTGTCTCCTCTCCCCCGCCCCTGTCTCGGTTCTGAGACCACTCTGTGCTTTCGGTCCAAACTAGGTCAGTCAGCCTGTGTCCATCATGAGAGCAGAGAAGACCTTCAGAGGCTGACCCAGAGGTTCTGCCAGATGTGACCACCTGCTGGGGACAGCCTCCTGGGGTTCGCAGTGCAGCCCTGACCACGTCCAGGGAACCCCGACAGCCCGGCCAGACTGGAGAGGAGTGCTACACCCCGTCCTCCTCACTTCCGGGGCTGGGGCTGGGCTCCGACCAGGTGGCTTCGCTGGGGTGGGGGCAGGGAGAGGGTCGGAGACTGGGAAGCAACATCTGTTCCCACCAGGTCGTCTACCCCAATTATAGGACACTGATTATATGTCCTAAAAAATTATAGCGGACATTTGCTGCCATTGTTTTTGTATTTCTGTACTGAAAATACTGCCCTTCTCCTCTTTTTTCATGCCTCCCTTAGAAAAACATTTCCCCCCCAAATTCTCAAAAGGAAAGTCCGTCAGAGGGAGACTTAAATAGACATGGCGAGCGTCCAGGTTCTGTCTGTGAAGGCACCGGACTGTGGCCGGGGGGGAACGGGAAGCTGAGGAGGCGGAACAGGAGCCTGGCCCTGAGCTCGGGACCCTCTCCCCCCCCCCCCCCCCCCCCCCCCCCGCCTCCAGGCCTCCGGGGGCCGGGGCAGCGGCGTCTGAGCTGGTTAACGCGTCCTGCTTTTGCGTTTAAAGAGACCCAGCCCCTGGCCATCTGTGACCTCGGCGTTTCTATGTCACCTACGTGTGGGCCAGCGTATGTACGTTAGCAGTTCGCTATGCCGGGGAACCTGTCAGAAGTAATTCTGCTATCACCCATTCCCACCCATCACATTCGCACAATACAGCTGCGCATTTATACAGCATCCAAGCGGTGGCCAAGGCTCACGCTCCATCATTGGAAAGGACTTTTTTTCACCAAAAAGGTGTTTGTTTAAACATGTCCCCCCGCCCCCCAGCATTGCTTGTGATGATTAAACAAACCAGCAAAAAAAGCGAAACGTCCAAATATGTCATTGCTGTTAAATTGGTGACATAAGTTACAGCCCAGCCAGGAACAGGACAGGTTAGAGTGGATGTCCTGACAGAAATTTTCTGGGATCACATAGCAAGCAAGGCTCAGCCAAGTGTTAGCAGTGTGTTTGTGAATAGTGTGTGTGTGTGTCTCTGCGTGCGTGTGCGTGTGTGTGTGCATGTACGTGTGTGTGATGCTCACGTCCTGTAGGAAAGCACACCCTGGGTCCGGAAGGGATTCTAAAACAGTCCCTCCATCGTCGTCTATGGGCCGAGCAGGGGGGGGGGGGGGGTGATCTCATTTTCCGTGTGTCTCTCTCTCCACCGCTTGCATGCCTCGCCAGGTGCATTCAATGTCCTTCTTTTAAAGAACAAGGCCATCCAGGGATCGACGGGGTGGTAGGACGGAGAACCACTCTAGTTTTACTCTTCATCGTTCTTCCCATGAGCTTTGTAAACCGAACGATATTTCTTAAAGGACATCCGAATATCTCAGAGTCCATCTTTCCATCACAAACATACAGCTGAGATGGCAGTGAAGTGCCCCTCAATCTTACATTCATTTCATGGTAACATGTCTGAAAACACTGGCCGTGGTGGGCGGGCGGAGTCATAAAAAGGCTGTATTAAGAAAAAGCATTTAGCTTGGCCGGCCTGGCTCAGTGGCTGAGCGTCCACCTATGAACCAGGAGGTCACGGTTCAATTCCCGGTCAGGGCACAGGCCCGGATTGCGGGCTCGATCCCCAGTGTGGGGCGTGCAGGAGGCAGCCGATTGGTGATTCTCTCCCATCATTGATGTTTCTTATCTCTCTCTCCCTCTCCCTCTCCCTCCCTCTCTGGAATCACTAACAATATTACAAAAAAAAAGAGGATGAGCATCCGGAGGGTTTTGGAGTCACACGTGCCATAAACCAGTGACGGCGGTGCCCCAGGCCACGCCTGCCTACCTGGTGATGTGGATTTCCGCGTCGTACAGCAGGCGGATGGTGAAGTTGGCCGCGTTGTCTGCCTCGCTGGCTTCCTCACTCTCGCTGTGGAACCAGCATTAGGAAATTACTTGAAGGAAAATATCAGAAAAGCTATCCATGCACGACTTCGTTATGTTTTACCTGGAGGCCTGGAAACTGACAGATGCCCGATTCTGAAGGTTTTGAAGATTGAAGTCGAAGTTAATCGTAAACGTCACCTGCGTACAACATTAAAATCCGTCAGTGCACGATGCTCCGTACTCAGGCCCAACGTGAAAAAAAAGTTTCCCCAGAGAGCGGACGCCCTCCAGTGGATTCCGAATGGCATGCACCACGAGCTCCCCAATGTGCAGAACGTGTGGTTACTGGTCCGCCTGGCGCAGCTGCCTGGCCTTCAGAATCAGACGGGCTCCACCCTCAGTGACACAGGCCAGCCCGCCGCCAGCACACGCCTGTCCGTGTTTGGAAGCTCTGTGCGGACGTGAAGCGTGCTCCTCCGGGGTCAACACATGACCACCGGGGCCCCGGGTAGCGCACTTAGACCAACCGTTGGTCAACGCGTTCAGAAAAGAAGAACTTCCCATCGCCTGTGTGCTTTTGGGGATGCACCGCATGGGGGAAATCTTACTTTTTAAAATATGTACATTTCTTGATTTCTGAGAGGAAGGGAGAGGGAGAGAGAGAAACATCAGTGATGAGAGAGACACATCCCTTGGTTGCCTCCTGCAGGTCCCCAGGATCGAGCCTGCAACCGAGGTATGTGCTCTTGATCGGAATCAAACCTGGGACCCCTCAGCATGGGCACTCTATCCACTGAGCCACACCGGCGAGGGCTCACTTCTATGAGTAACTTAAAGAGAACATTCAGATTCTAAACTCGTCCTCTGAACAGGCAGGCAGCGGTGCTGTGATGCCCGTGAAAGGTGACAGCTCGTGAGGAGGGCGGCTGTGGGTGGATGAGAGGGGAGCTGAGGGGGCTGGCGTGGGTTTCAGGCTGAAACGCAGCTGGTACCTGCTGTTGTGGCTTCAGCGCGGGGTAGCCTACATCGCAGGCCACGGATTTCTGAGAGGCAGCCACCTGGCACATCACTTCCGTCCCGTCCACCTGAACGAGGCCAAGGAAACATGAGCGATTAGTATGTGCCGTGTGTGTGCAGGCACGGCCATGCTGAATGGCGCACAGCGCATGGGCACTTTAGCGCCAAGGCTGGTTGGTGCACACTACAGTGACCTACTGTCCCCAGGACTTAGCATCCAGTCTTCTCCAGGTGGCCAACGCGCTATTTTCGTTGCTAAGCAGGACACGCAACAGCCACAGGAGAGAGGCCAGATACTTGAATTTCCCCCCAGAATTGATTCATTCGCTCTTATATTTCATAAGCACGAAATAATTGCAATCCCAGATGGAATGCTGTCTTAAATACATATCTTTCTCTTAATGTAGTTGAAGTTTGTAGTTTCACGAGAAGAAAACAAAATTGTATGCTGGTGTTTATTAATATTCTTTAAATAATTTCAAGACTGTTTTTTAGTTTTCCTCTTTAGAATAAGCTGTCATTTTGCACAGGGAAGTTAAACACTGAAGTCAGAATGGTTTAGGACGCTACGTCTGTTAAGTTCGCATTGCCTTGAGCTGGATGGGACCGGTTCACATTCTCTCATCACAGGCAGCTGGTTTGGAAAATCTTAGCTTTTCCCCCTCCTGTTCCCTGCGCGGTGGCCGAGGGGACGGGGGCATTCGCGGTCAAGTGCGCCCCTGGGATAGTCATCAAGCCGACACGACTAACTGACCTCGCCGGAATGCGTCCCCTGGCAGCCGCCCGCCCGGCCCAGCTGCGGGACTGAGCGCTCGGAGCAAGTGCAGCTCGGAGCATCTGAGCTCACGGTGGCCAAGGACCTGGCCCGGCGGCAAGTCTCAGGGCAAAGGAAAAACTGAGCCGCCTGTGAGGCCGGCCCGGCCCGGACGCGGAGCCAGGCAACGTGCTCCCGGGGTTTAACGCGTTGGGAGCCGCGCACTCAGGCCTGAGGGGGCCCCTCGTGGTTAAAGAGTTTCCCTCGCAACACGGAGCACAGACCTCGGGGGTCGAGCTGAGGGGAGGCGTGACTGAGGAGTGAGCCCCCGTGGACCCAGCACCACTTACCGGCAGGGACCAGGAAGCAAAAAACAGGTTTTCTGAGAAATCCACACGGAGCCCAGTGTTGTACGCACTCTCCCTTTTGTTTTTCAGTGTCACTGAAAAGGTTAACCTCTTGTTTTGGTTGCTGACAATAAACGGTTGTTCTCTGTTAAAAAAAAGGAGAGAGAAAGTCATTAAGGGGGGAAAGGGGTCAGCATTCAAACACCTCAGTCATTTAAAAAACAAACTCTTCAGATTCACTTCGAATACTGAGAAAATTGCCCGGTAAGAAACTGTCTTCAGTGCAAAATGATGAGTAAGTGCTATTGGGCTTTCTTCTTCTTCTTTTTTTTTTTAAATATATTTTATTGATTTTTTACAGAGAGGAAGGGAGAGAGATAGAGAGTTAGAAACATCGATGAGAGAGAAACATCGATCAGCTGCCTCCTGCACATCTCCTACTGGGGATGTGCCCGCAACCCAGGTACATGCCCTTGACCGGAATCGAACCTGGGACCTTTCAGTCCGCAGGCTGACGCTCTATCCACTGAGCCAAACCGGTTTCGGCTGGGCTTTCTTCTTTGTTGCCTTCAGTACAAGTCGGGGGAAGGAACCACCCCAACACAAGTGGTTGTACAGTCCTTACCGTCTGACACCTGCATGACTGGCAGAACGTGCAATTCAGATTTTAGAGTCTTTATTAGTTACAGACATTTCTTTGGTAGAAACTATCTCCATAAACATTCATTTGAATAACAATCAAATGTGTCTTTTATTTCTGTACTAGAGGCCCGGTGCACAAAATTCGTGCATTGGGGTGGGGTCCCCCTCACAGTCTGGGACCCCTCGCTCCTTACTGCTCACTGCTCCTGACCACTCAGCTTGCTGCTCCTTAGTGCTGCCATGGAGACGGGAGAGGCTCCCGCCACCGCCGCTGCGCTCGCCAGCTGTGAGCCCGGTTTCTGGCTGAGCGGAGCTCCCCCTGTGGGAGCACGCTCCCGCCTTGAGCATCTGCCCCCTGGTGGTCAGTGCGCATCATAGCGACCGGTCGTTCTGGTCGTTCCGCCGTAACGGTCACTTAGGCTTTTATTATATAGCTTTTACACTAGGCTTTACACTCTTTTTTTATTTTAGAGAGAGGAAGGTAGAGCAAGAGAGAGGGAGAGAAACATCAATGTGAGAGAGAAACCTCAATTGGTTGCCTCCTGTAAGTGCCCAGATCAGGGTTTGAACCCTCAACCTAGGTATGTTCCTGATCGTGAATCGAACCCACCACCTTTGGGTGCACAGCACAATGCCCAACCCACTGAGCCACATGGAGCTTTACAGTGAAACTCACTGAGCAGCTGGCAGCTGGCGGACCTCAAGCACCAGGTCGGAGATGCACACGCCGTCGTCCCCACAGTCTTTGTGGAAAGGGATCTAGAGAAGGAAAGCAAGCCCAGACGCTGGCACTTAGGAGAGCAAATGTGGACGGACACACACAGCATCATCCCATGTACATGACACTCAGAACCAGCCCAAACTAAGCCACGCTTCCGGACTATGTACACGCTTAGCAACTCGGAGAGGGAAGCAGTGATAAATGCAAAGCTCAAGGGGGTGACTGGCAGGGGGAGCAAGAGGAGTGTGGGGGTGGGAGTGTACAGGGGAGTCACAGGTTGGGGTAACATTCCATTAAGTGGGCAGTGAGCACACGGAGTTCGCTGTGTTGTTATTTATTTCTCCCACAAACACCCGTGGGCCCTGCGGGGGACGGCTCCGCTCACGGGCCGGGCGGGCCTAGCACAGTGAACGAGGAAGACGAAAGCTCGGGCTGCGTGGATCTTACATGCTAGTGGCCTGTGCACGTAGTCACGGGATTTCATTTAGAGAATGAACAGGTTAAAGGCCACGTGCTAAGTGTCTTTCCCACAGCAGCCACGGTGAACCTGCTAGTGGGTCTGGATGCCAGGAGGGCCAACCCCACTCACACTGAAGACCCTGGCCGTCTCCGAGTAGGCCTCCAGGGCGGGGCTGGTGCCGGGGTGGGCCAGGCTGATGTTCACGAGGAGACTCAGAGCGTGGACGACATCCGAGGGCTCCTACACACACACACACAGAGTCCGTGTATTAGCACGGGAAGCGTTAAAGCAGAAACAGGCCACAGTGTTGTCTAGATGAAGGCTCTGGCATCTTCTCTTCTTCTCTAATCTGGCCTTTGCCTCTCCGCTAAGAAACTAAAGTCAGGGGCTCAGTGAAAATCAGAAGCAGCAGTTCTTGGTTAAGCAGCCCAGGAACCTCATTGTGTGCACATAAGGAATGGTAAGCATTCAGGTGATATGCCCAGTTTTTAAAAATATATACTTTTATTGCTTTCAGAGAGGAAGGGGGAGAGAGAGAAGCATCAATGATGGGAATCATGGATCGGCTGCCTGCTGCACACCCCACACTGGGGATCGAGCTCGCAACCCGGGCCTGTGCCCTGACCGGGAGGGAATGAACCCTGACCTCCTGGTTCATAGGTTGACACTCAACCACAGAGCCACGCCGGCTGGCAATATATCCAGGTGTAATGCTCTAACGAGCTGTGTCAGTCCCGGCCCTCGGGTTGCTGGCTGTCTTTTCAGTCCCTACAGCTGAGACCTGGGGTCCTTGGTGCCCCTGGAAGGGACACTGTGGCCTCGAAGGGAAGGGACAGGCTGGCTGTCAGGCAACGGACAAGAGCTTCCTTAGTCGGAGCCTCACTCTGCTCTGCGAAGCCAAAGGCACTGCCACGTCCACATCCGAACCCAGCCCCCAACTTCCCCCGGCCCAACTTCCCCCTGGCCTGACTTCCCGCTGGCCCAGCCCCCGACTTCCAGCCCAGCCCACAGCAGGAGCCCTTTCTCCTGGCTCAGGTGAGGTGCCTGGCCTCTCGCAGTCAGGAAGCCGCCACCCCCAGCACCCTCTCCGCTGGCGTGCAGGGAGGGGGACTGGTGGTGCCCACAGGCACTTGGCCTTGAGACACCCCATCTAGTGGAAAATGTACAAACACAAGGACAGGGTGAGAGTGTCACCTAGCGGTCCTCACGCAGACCCCCCCGGTTCTCCGGAAAGAACAAGGAGCAGACGGCGAGCGCTGGACACGGGGTGTGCCCCCTCCCCAGAGGGCCTGTTACCACTTACCATCCCAGGCCACAGTCAGTCCTCGTGGCCCCTTGGGGCCTGGCACAAGGCAGGCTGGCACACAGTGGGGCCTGTGAGGACTGAACTAGACAGGGTCTCCCGGCTGAGGACACGGCCCGGCCCTGCGAGCCCCACAGGTGCACCGGGGAACCACCAGGACTTCCACCCAACAGCCTGGCCACCTCACCCCCCTCGATGGGCCACGTGTTCAGTGTGACTTGCCATTCAGCTCATTATGTGGTTCCAGCTTTCATTCCTTAAATGGGCGGCACAGCTGGCCCCTCAACAACAAAAGGCCTGGCCTTGGCCAACAAGTAACCTTCAACTTGAGCAACAAACAACCCATGTGCATGCATCCGAGCATCAATGGTATGCTTTTCAGCGTCTACACGTGGCCTTTCCCGAGATGTGGTCTCTGCATCACCGGCTGCACCAGGAGTACCTGGGCCCCTTCGCCCTGCGTGTGCCCTGGGCCTTCAACCCCCCGAGGCTGGCGGCGAGGACCCAGACACACGTTCCGTAACAGTTCCCTGGGCAACCCCGATGCCTCTTACACCCCGGGAACCACATTTCCAGAAAAGTTCCTAACAGCGTCCTGAGGAAAGTGCACTCTCAAATTCCATGATGTGGCTTCTACGGGGAAAGGGTCCTGTAATTAATAAAACAAAGTTCCTGCTGGGAGCTTTCTCGGAGAAGCACAGTTCCTCCTCGGGAGACCTTCCAGCTCCATTTGGACAGGCGTCACTGTGGCCTGAGAGCAGAGCTCATCCTTTCGCCCTGGTGCCCTGCCACCCTTCACCCGTGAACTTCACCCACCAGCGGAAAACCCAGGTGCGATGGTTCTCTTCGGCTCCTTAAAAAGGAACGCATTTCCTGAGCGGAAAATGTCCACGTAAAATCCCTGTCAACTACACGTTCTCCCTGTTGACCGTCTTATAAAGCACTCTGTCCCCGGCGTCTCTGAGGGTTGTCTATTTAGCCCCATTAACTGCAACCCCAATAAAACGTAGCGCCCCTCACTGAGGAACGGCCCCTGGCCGTACGCGTTAGCGAGGGGGACAGGCGTCCTGTCCCCAGAAAGAAAAGCATGCGTCAGCAGGCGAGCGTTTCCTGGCTCCTCAGTCTCCCTTTTGGATTTTCTCCGTTTACTAGGCCCCAGGGAGGGAGGGGAGGAGGGGACCCTCACCTGTATGTGGATGGCGAACTCAGAGCAAGTCTGTCCTGGACCGACGATGGCGTCCTTCTGCAGGTACCGGTCACTGTTCTCCTTAAACAGCCCCCTGGAGGTCACGCGGGACGAGTACAGGTCCGCGTCGATGGTGATGTTATAGGTAATGGCTGTGATAAAAATCATAAAAATGCTACGACAAAAACCTTCAAAGGGAAAAGCATCCCTGGTCTTATTGTGTCTTACTGGGTGAGGTCTCTGACTTCGAGGAAATGTGAAAGCGGCTTTTACGTTGATGGGCTGTGAGCCATGGACGGCCCAGGGCAGCCGGGACGCTAGCGCTGGTGGGATGTGTGCGACTGTGGCTGGACGCAGGGGAAGGAGAGTGGGCGCGCGCCCGGGGAGTCTCTGAGTGGGACTGGCCAACTTACTCCCTCCCTCACACTTTGGTTTCAAACATCATTCGTAACACGATGATGCGAAAGGGAAAGACACAGTCATTGCGCGCCCGCAGCGGGACACTGCTTTTCCTTTGCGTTATTTTTGCCGCTTCTTTTTAGTTCATTGATCCTCTTACATCTTATCCATCTTTCTTAGCCTCCTGAAGTCATTGGAGCAAGAAAAGTTATACAACATTTCTAATAGATATTTTAAAGGTAACCTGTATAATGAATGTTTTTGGAAGTCAAGTCAACTTTTAAAATATTGAAAGTAATGCAATGAGGAGGAGCAACCCCAGTTGGTGCTATGAGTAGTCTCGTCTCTCTCGATTGTGGCCAGGCGGGCAGCAGACGTAGTTGAAGGTTCCGAGAGATAGTTAGACATTGGCTACTGGCCTCAGCTTTTGTCACACTGGTTTTCCTTTCCTTTTCCCCAGGTGGGTATTGTCATCTGCGCTACAGGTGAGGAAACGGGGGTTCAAAGGGGTTTAACAAGTTGCCTAAAGTCGTGCCACTATGAACAGCAGCCTTCGGTTCAAACCAAGCTGTCTGATGACGTTAGTCTATCTGTTTACACTTCAGGAACGACTGGTTTCTAACATTTAGGGCCAAACACTGGAACAGCAGCAAATAAAAGAAGTCACTTAACCGAGGGCGAGACCAGCTGCTGAGCCGCTGGGGCAGGGGAGGTGAGGGGAGACGCGGTGGGTGGAAAACACCAGCGAGAGGATGTGGGCCTTGGCCCGGCCCTGGAAGGTGACCCGGCCTGGCCAGGAGAGACGGTGACAATTCCTGCTGGCACGTGCCCAGGGTTTCACCCACCGTCTCCTGCTGGTAGGACACATCTCAGACTCGTACCCACTTCTCTGCATTGCTTTGCAGATTGAAAACACGGGCATGAACAATACATTCTTTTGTATCTTCTCATGATTTCATGGTTATTAATTCCTCAAGAGCAGGAATCACACTTGGTTCTAGTACTGAACAGCTCTGCCTAGATCGTGGCCTGGCTGACGTGCAGAGCCCTCAGTTCCTGCGGGAGGCGCCCAGGGGGACTGTGGGAGCCGAGGTTGATGGGGGACCCGGGCAGGAGACACTCGGAGGACAGAGTGGGGAGAGCCTGCGACGGTGTCATAGAGATTACAGCCCCGGGTCACCTTCCAGAGATGATGAAGGAAGCCCTACACCCCGCTTCCCGCCTAGGCACCCATCCCCAGCACCTCACCGTGTGGCAAGAGAAATGTCTGCACGTTAACCCGGATTTCCGTGGGCCCACAAACTCCAAGTCTGAGTCACGCTCAGGACGGGCGCCCTGGGAGCACACCCCGCTCCGTTCACACGATCGCAGCCCCACTCACCCACGCGGCTGCTTGGCGTGGCGGGTCGGAACTTCGCCCACAGGCAGAGTTTGAGGTGGATCTCCGCATTCTTGTTGAGCAAGGTGATTTTTTCTGGTGTGAACGAAGCGTCTACAGACACATCAGCAATGCTCTGCGACCTGAAAGACACAGCGGGGACAGACAGATGGACAGACCGCCAAGTACAGGTGTGCTGCCTTCACAGGGGCCAGTGCCTGCAGGGTCCAGTCACCGCCCCCCCCCCCCTTCCCGCTCCATCTGGCACCTGGCAGCACTCAGATGGAAAGCTCTGAGCTGGCGCGGGGACGATGTTTCCTGTTTGTGACCGTGGCACCAGCACAGTCATCCTTAACACTGTTGGTTTAACGAGGGCACGCGTGAGCACGGGCCCGAGTCTGCAGAGGGGCACACAGTCCTGTCCAGCTGGACGCGGTGACATTCATTTTTCTCATAAAGATAGGGGGCGGGGTAGCAGGGGGGGAGACAGGGCTGAGGTGTGTGCTTGTGGCGGTTTCCTGTGCCTCGGTGACTGGCAGCGATCCTGACAGCATGGCATGTGACCACGATGCTGGCAATTAGCCTGATGCCGGGGGCTGGGGAGGAGGCAGGGGCTGCAGGCTCGGCCTCTGCCCTTGGGCGTCTGAGGGTCTTTCCCACACGCACCGCCTCGCTGCTTCTGTGCCACTCCTGTGACGTGGGTGGGACACATACCATCTCCACTTATCAGTGAACGTCTGAGGCACAAGGATGCTGGAAACCGGCCAGTGTGCTGAGTCAGTTAGTGAGAAACCATAGCAGGTGAGCAATTAGAACCCGCGGTCTCCTCAGCCCCTGGGCAGAGGAATTTGTACGTCATCATGTGACCCCTTGGGCACACCTTGACTATTGACAAAGCAGCCAGTAGAAATCAAAAAATTCCCTGTTGCCCTGACGGTTTGCCTCAGTGGATAGAGCGTCGGCCTGCGGACTCAAGGGTCCCAGGTTCGATTCCGGTCAGGGGCATGTGCCTTGGTTGTGGGCGCATCCCCAGTGGGGGGTGTGCAGGAGGCAGCTGATCGATGTTTCTCTCTCATCAATGTTTCTAACTCTCTATCCCTCTCCCTTCCTCTCTGTAAAAAATCCATAAAATATATTTTAAAAAATTCCCTGTTCCTAAAAGTACTACAAGAAGATACAGAAAGCATGTTCTTTCCATTTCAGGACTGGAGTCCATCGGAAAGGTGCGTCGATCATGAACCATGCCTGTCCCAGGCCCCTGACCAGCAGGCACAGAAGGCCTCGTAGCAGAGGCGGCGCGGCCACGGGCCTCAGGGCCCACGCGGCCCAGGAGCGGGTTTTCTGTGAGTCCGTCTGTCGGAGAAGCTGAGCATTTCTCCCAGGAGAGAGGGCACTGACTTCAGAGATTCTGGAAACTTGGATTTCTGAAACTCATTCTCAGGAAGTCACCCAGAAAAGCCAGTCTCGGCACTTGAAGGAAAGATGGCACTAACCTACTTTGGCTAAATGTCAGTAATTGATTTCATGTGTCTCGACTGTTTTGAAGAATCAATTCACCTTCCCAGGAAAAGGTTTGGCCATCACTACACTAAAGGGAGTGTCATAGCAGAGCAGGGATATAGCCCACCAGGGACGCTGCTTGCCAAAGTGGGCACGGTCAAGTTCACTGAGGTGTAATTGCTTACTGTTTAAAAATCAGTCATATAGTCCTCGTTGGTTTGGCTCAGTGGATAGAGTGTCAGCCTGCAGACTGAAAGGTCCGGAGTTCGATTCCGGTCAAGGACACATGCCCGGGTTGTGGGCTCAATCCCCAGTAGGGGGTGTGCAGTGATTCTCTCTCATCATTGATGTTTCTATCTCTCTCTCCCTCTCCCTTCCACTCTGAAATCAATTAAAAAAATATTGGGGGGAAAAATCAGTCTTATAACCCAGCTGGTGTGGTGCAGTGGTTGGGTGTCAACCTATGAACCAGGAGGTCATGGTTCAATTCCTGGTCTGGGTACATGCCCAGGTTGCGGGATCGGTCCCCGATGGAGAGTGTGCAGGAGGCAGCCAATCGATGATTCTCTCTCATCATTGATGTTTCTATCTCTCTCCTTCTCCCTTCCTCTCTGAAATCAATAAAAATATATTTTAAAAAATTAGTCATATAATTATGTTATCACACCTTGTATTTTTCCAATGGTATGTTACTCTTAACTGGTTTAACTGGTTTTATTCAGTAAATAATGTCTTCTTATTTTTAACATCTTAAATGTGATCCTTCAGTCTTATTTTTCCATATAAAGATTTCATGAAGACACTGCATTTTGTTTTTTGAAAGCACGAGTGAGATACTGTAAATAGTGCCATTAAACTCAGAAACAGCACAACGTCCATGTGTAGCTTTCCTGTTCCTGACGCATTTGGACATTGAAAGCACAATTCCCTACAGAAGCAAGTGAATGAATGGCTGGACTGTATCTTCTTGGGAACTCTTGATGAAATTCTCCATTTCCCTCTGGTTCCATTCCCTCACCAGCCCCATACATTTATTTTTGTCCTTGAACCGCATGGCGCTTGAATCCCTTATTGTTCCTGCTCTTCAGCTCCCACTGGTTCAACGAGGGGCCACTAAACCGACACAATGGTGTCCTGTTCATGACGGATGGTTCCACACGGTGCCTCTTAACGGCGCGCGGAGCTGCAGTGCGGTCCGGGCGCTCAGTCTGGTTAGGGCATCTCAGGAAGCTTCCTGCTGGGAGCCAGCGAGGGCCCCTTGGAGACAATCTTCCCCAACACCCTGGCGACCATTCCCACGCCCTTCTCGCCACAGAGAAGAGACGCTGGATTCTAATGGGAAACAAATGTTTTTTTTTTCTCCCACCAGGGAAGGCAGTCCTTCTTTACAAAAACCAGTGCCCTGGAGTCTTAGCTAATGCACGTGGCCCTTCTGAGGACCAGCAGGGAGATCTGGACCAGCACGTGGCCCTTCTGAGGACCAGCAGGGAGATCTAGAGCAGCACGCGGCCCTTCTGAGGACCAGCAGGGAGATCTAGAGCAGCACGCGGCCCTTCTGAGGACCAGCAGGGAGATCTAGAGCAGCACGCGGCCCTTCTGAGGACCAGCAGGGAGATCTAGAGCAGCACGCGGCCCTTCTGAGGACCAGCAGGGAGATCTAGAGCAGCGCGTGGCCCTTCTGAGGACCAGCAGGGAGATCTAGAGCAGCATGTGGCCCTTCTGAGGACCAGCAGGGAGATCTAGAGCAGCACGCGGCCCTTCTGCAGGCCCCGCAGAGCGATCTGCCCAACCGCACTGGCCCTGCTTTATTAGCTGCGCTGTGTCTGCCTCACTCACTCACCAGAGCTGAACAACTTGTCCAAAGGCACCAATGGACACATCGGTGATGGAATCCCCATTTAGGTCTCCATAGCCGTCCAAGGACCTCCCGAAGTACTGGAGCCGGCTCCGGAAGGCCCGGTCGGATCCCAGGATTTTCTGAAAGGGCACATTGGACATGCAATTATAGGGCATGACAACTGGAACGGAAAAAGGCACCTTCTACGCGGCACTGTCATATTCTCCACACAGCCTCTTCCCAGGTTGCTTATTCTCCATAAAACACCACTGACTTTCAACTCATCTCATCTGACGGTTTTATCGTTCCTGCAGCCACACTTTCATCAGAGAAACAGCATGAATCTTTTCCCATAAAACCACATACCAGCACGAAGCAGTGAGGGATCGGCGGCCGGGGCAGGAGCTGACACAAGTTCAGGTCCCAATTCCCATCCTCCCTCCCCTCCCCAGCTCTCTACTCAAAGCTGCCTTCCCAGCGAGGCCTCCGGGTCACCCTCATCCCTGAAAATTCACTCCCATTTCATTAAAAAACTCCTTGTCATTGACTACGACCTGGGACACTTATCGCAGTGATGGCGAACCTTTTGAGCTCGGCATGCCAGCATTTTGAAAAACCCTAACTTAACCCTGGTGCCGTGTCACATATAGAAATTTTTTGATATTTGCAACCATAGTAAAACAAAGATTTATATTTTTGATATTTATTTTCTATATTTAAATGCCATTCAACAAAGAAAAATCAACCAAAAAAATGAGTTCGCGAGTCACCTCTGACACGCGAGTCATAGGTTCGCCGTCACTGCTTATCGTATTTATCTTATCTTTCCTCTGTCCCCTCCGTGAAGAGCAGAGTTTTGCCTGTCCTTCCTTTGCGACATCCCCACATAGGACAGCCCTGGCACGCTTAGCCGCTCACTACATGTTTACTGAGTGAGTGAATAGTTCCGAGAGGAGAAGGCGGAGTGGATGGTCCCCATGCTCTTCCCCAGCCGGGCACAATGATGCCCCCTGTGCACACTTCCCCTTGGCCGCCCGGGTTACCTGGGAGAACCTGGTGCGGACGGTGCGGCCATGGCCGTTGTAGATGTACACGGCTCCCGCGTTCTGATGCTCCAGGGGCGACCCGACAATCACGTCATTGAAGCCATCCATGTTGATGTCCGAGAGGGCGGCGATCGCGGAGCCGAACCTCGAGTTTTCCACGCCCTCCGGGCCTTCCAGGAACTGGTGCCAATTCAGAATGCCCTGGAGAAGGGGAGAGGGGTGAGTACAGCGAACCTCACAGCCTCACAATTACAATTCACAGCCAGCGATGGCCACGCCCACTTGCAAAGGGTAAGGGGAGAGGGTTGGAAACCTAGAATTCAAAAACCCTCCCATTATGATCAGAATTATAAATAAGAATTTTCGTAAGCAAGGTCATGGTAATCTGCTCATAAAGCGAGGTGCGAGGGGGCGATTCTCTTTAGCAACACAACCTACATAAAGGCACCCATTCCTCTATCTCCTCTTTTCCTTCATGTTATATCGTCACCTGTTTCTATACCTTTGACTTAAAATTTTTTTGGTGAAAACCTATGAATATTTTGAATAAAATTAAGGTGGAGACAAAATAAAATGCAAGATCTTAATTTAGACCTTTACGGAAAAATTACTGAACCGTGGCACAATTTTCATGGTACAGAAAGTGAAAAACGAGATCATGCATATCCCAGTGTAAGAAACACTGAGCAGTTCTGCCCAAAGAAAAGACCTTTCCTTGTAAAAGACGCAGTTGTTTCTTCAGATTTTGAAATAAGAATGGGGATATTCCATGGCCTCACAAGAAAGCCACGCTCCTCACCGGAAACCAGGCGGTGCCAGTTTCCCCTCGATCACACTCGTCGAGAAGTCTGCGTATCACCAAGTTTGATAAACTATTAGGAGCTGGTCTCACTTGCAGCCATTAATGACCACTCAGAAGAGCTGGCCAGCAAGGAACAGCTACGAATCTGGGATCTGGGAAACCACGTAGCTCTGCCCTTTCCTTACTGGATGCTCAGTTCTGCTTTCTTCGTGTGCTTTAGAAGAGTTTTACTTGCTTCTGTTGAAGGGCTGGTTTTTTCATTAATTTAAATAAATAAGGGAGGACAAAATATCACAACAGCTAAACATAACACTCACTGTGCTAACATCAGCGTCTCTTGCCCGCCCCTCCCCCTCTGTGGCCATCGGAGCGTCTATGACCCTGTATTTACGTGCATAGATTTAGAGAGTTCAGCCCACCAGCTGGAAAGGAGGATTTTCCATGTTGGCGCGCGCTACGTTTGATGTGCAAGGACTGGAAAGTTCCGGAGTTGGATGTATACCTAACCGTTACACTAAGCAATGGAATTTCCTGGCGGCTGATGTGCAAAGCATCCAGGGTTATAGGGGGTTCCCAGGGGCTGGTCCATTTGTCTATTTCACTGTCAAAATCCACAAGACAGTTCTGAGCTGTTATTGTGATCTCTTTACAGCAAAGAATAACTGGAGAGGACACTGGGGACATACTCAGGTGTGTGTGTGTTTAAAAACGATATGCATTTACCACTTCATGCGAAAGAGAACATCCATGCAAAGACCTCATGGAAAATGTCAGTGCACAGTAGGTAAGCTCTAGGTTAGGTTCTAGGTTCATGCGATTTTAAGAATCACAACTAAACGGTCACATCCTCCAAATAATGAAACAGAAACACACCGTACATGAAAATCATCCTTCAATAATAGACTCTCTTTAACCAAATGCAAAAAGGCAGGCTACCTTTTACTGACCAATACCAACCCACATTAAACTCAGTCCGCGTCAGCATCTGTGTACCTTCGTGATGGTGAACAGGTAGACTTTCCCCTCCTCTTTCTTCAGGTCGTTCATGAACATGGGCGCACCCACCAGGAGCACGTCGGTCACGCCGTCCTTGTCCACATCCACGGAGCAGAGCACGCTTCCAAAGTAGGAGCCGATCTGCAGTGATGAAGCAGGTCAGCCTGAGGCTTCCCGGGACCCCAGTAGGCCTCATGTGACACTGGACTTTTATTTCCTCATTCGACACCTGAGCGTGAGTGCTTACTCCCTGCCAAGTGCTAGGGATGTAAAGATGGATGACACAGCCCCTGCCCTCAGCCTGTGGCACCATCTAAAGTGCAGGGTGCCCCCGAATCACCAAGAAAACATCTTTAAAAATACAGATTTCTGAGGCCCATTTCCAGAGATGCTGAGGCCAGGCCTAGGGAGTGGCCCAGAAAACGGCATTTTTATAAGCACGCCAGGTGTGTCTGCCGCTGGGGGTCAGAGGCCACACTTAGAGGCATAAGGGTGTGTTATGGAGAAAGGGGGAGGAGAAGACAGAGGTGGAACGAATGCTGTGCTTCCATGGAAAATATGTTATAATGCAGGAAAGTGCCAAATATTGAGTGAGTGAGTGAGGGCTGGGAGCCAGGGCGGCTTAGAAAGATGAGTGTCGTATGAATTGCATGTCAGGAGCCGCCAAGGAGTTTCCAAGTGAGAAGGGGAAGCCGGGGTGATGGACGGGCCCACGGGCAGGCCTGGGACAGAGGAGGGGTGGCTGCCGAGACGGGGCCCGGAGGGTTAGGGCGAGAGGACGCGAAGTGAGAGAGGCTGGGGATTCGAATGTTCATCTCATCCAACCATTGTCGCTGTGTATACCTCGGAAGGATTTGGAAATGAAAAGAAATGATTCCTTTCATTGCGCTTTCATTGTTTTGTTTTTCGCACAATAAAAGCACCCTTTTACGAAGCAGTAGAGAGGAGGGAAGGGAAGAGACCACGGCTGGTTTGGGTCCAGGAGGTGGAAGGCCAGGTCTTCTTTTTCCAGAGAAGCCAACAGTGGGGTCAGACCGAACCCCGAGAAGGGGAGCCTGTGGAGAGTCGTCTCTCCGCCTCGGGGGGCAGAACTCCCGCTGGGTGTCGAGAGCCGTGCTCTCATCTCAACCAGGTGCCTCCCCGAGGTCAGAGATGCCCAGTGAGGCCACGGGATCTCCCGGCTGACCCGGGCCCCGTGGGCACCACTGGGACAGGCATGCCCGTTTCTGACCCCGAGACTGTCCCCTGCCAGAGGAGAGCGGCAGGAAGGAGAGCTGCTCTCCACCCAGGGAGTCGGAGCCACAGCAGCCACTCCCTTGTCACTCTCTCTCCGAATCCTCGGCTCCCAGCGGGGTCGCCTCCAAGCGGCGGTTAGGTGCTGGCATCACGGCCTTACCAATCTAGGCGTCAAAAATACGGAGTGGGGTCCAGCCGGTGTGGCTCAGTGGCTGAGCATCAACATACTAGTATGAACCAGGAGGTCCCAGTTCAATTCTGGTCAAGGGCACATGCCCGGGTTGCGGGCTCCATCCCCAGTAGGGGGCATGCAGGAGGCAGCCAATCAATGATTCTCTCCCATCATCGATGTTTCTATCTCTCTCTCTCCCTCTCCCTTCCTCTCTGAAATCAATAAAAAATATATTTTAAAAAAATATGGAAAAAAAATATGGAGCAGGAAGTAGCCAAACAGCACAGCCTTTGCAGCGCCCCCAGGACTGGGTCTGAATGACAGCTCAGCCCCTGGAAGTTGTGACCTAGAAGGAGAGTCAATCTCTCAGGAACCTGTCAAAGGACCGGGCCGGCCTCAGGATTGTGAAGATTTCAGGAATATTCAAGTAAAGGCAGATGCCAGAGCCAGCCGGGGGCAGGCGCTCAATAAATGGTAGTTCCCCGCCCCCCCCACTCCCTACCCGCCCCCACTGTCCCTGCTGAGCGATGACTTTACCTGGTCGCCTCTGTGAGCCTGAATCACCGTGACATTGCCGTTCTCATTAACACTGTACAGCACTATCTGGCCCGTGTAATTCGCCCGCGGGGCGCCTGCGACAAAGTGGACCCCTTTTCCAGTAGAGATGGCCGCCACCGAGTAACCTGGGAGAGAAGGAGACGGTGGGTGCCACCGACAGGCTGGGCCCCACAGGCTTGCGGAGCTGGGGGAGTGGCTGAGCCCTTTCTCCAACCTGAGCATGTCACTCAGGGCCCATCTTCCTGTTTCCAAGGTGACCTGCTCCCGCCCTCTGACCAGCAGCACTGCCCTGCATAGTGGGCGTCTATCCATGAAGCCAACCCGAGATTCTGGTTGTCCCCATCAGCCAGTCATGAACCTGGCCCTCAACAGCTTTCTCTGTGAGTCACTAGGTGGATTTAAAAGGTAATGTTGCAGCCCCAGCCGGTTTGGCTCAGTGGATAGAGCGTCGGCCTGCGGACTGAAGGGTTCTGGGTTTGATTCCGGTCAAGGGCACATGCCTGGTTGCAGGCTCGATCCCCAGTAGGGGACGTGCAGGAGGCAGCCGATCCATGATTCTCTCTCTTCACTGATGTCTCTATCTCTTCCTCCCTGAAATCAATAGAAATATGTATGTTTTTAAAAGGGAAAGTTGTGAAGTGGAAAGAACACGGGCCTTGGAGTCAGTCCCCGCTTTGAATTCTGGATCCGCCTCTTACTGTGTTGTTCACCTTTAGGCAAACCATGACCCTCCTTGGCTCTAACGGTACAGTGGGACCCTAAGCTTCCCTCGGGGGGTGTTGGGAGGACTTTAATGTTCACCTCAATAGAGTCAGGAACTATCCCATAGTAAGTTCAAAATCCATGGCTGCTTATTCCAGGAAAGACAGACCAAGAGCTCTCATTTTTATCAGATTGTCACTGTGCACTGGCTCTTAGGAACTATTTCCATTTTGGAGAAATAACTGTGTCACAGGAATGACAACCACTTGGACAGCAGGAAGGGATTGGCGGGTACAATACAGGTTTCCTTAGCAGTTATGGTGAAGGCCTGATTGGCAGAAAGGGAACATGAACATTGTGTAATAAACATAATGAGTAGGTGACAGGCCCAGGACTGAACCGGTCCTGATTCCACGCGGGCTAGTGTAGTGGGAGGTCCTTCATGTGCAGCCCACGCGGGCGTGCCTGCCTTACCTAAGTAGGAGCTGTGGTTTCTGTCTTGCAGGATTTGGTCAAAGGCTTGTTTCGAGAAGATCAGGTGTCCGCTGGACGTCTGCTGAACCACGGTCCCGCTCCAGTCATAAGCCCCTACTGCACCCAGCATGAGGACGTCCTAAAACCACGGGAAAGGGGGGGTTAGAGCGCGTCACCTCTAAAGCGTGAGAGTTCAGCGTAGGCACAGCGTGGGGACACACTGTCCAGGTTTAAGGGGGAACTCAGCACGTGAGGTGAGATCATACACATGTGTTGACATATCTCAGAGTTGTCTGAACATGTTTGTGCTGGAGGGCAGCCTCCTCATGGGCTATGCTAGCTCGGGCTCTACTGAGTATGACATTACATGGACAAACCTTTCTAAGGAGCTATAATCAGGGGAGCACGTAGCCATATTCCAATTTCCATTCAAAGGCCCACATTGCAAACACTGAACTGTTAGAGGGAGCCTCTCGCCTCAGGGATTCATGAGAGAAGCTCACGGATGGCTATGAGGCAGCTGAGAGGTGGGGAATGATGCTGATAGAGGAAGGTCGGGGCCACTGGCTGCTAACACGCCCCCCTCCCAGCCCCCATCGTGGGAGGCCCTATCCAGACCCTTCTATTTTCAGCTTTCCTCTTGGCTCCTTCTCAGATGTTCCTCCATCATTTCTCTCCTGTCCCACCTACTTGAAAATAGCACAGGTGCAAACGGTGCCGTAGCTGAGACAGTGGATCCAACGTAAGGAAGTTCCCACAGGTCAGCACCGGTGTGGGGAGGGCAGAGGAGACAAGTGAGTCTGCCGACTGAAGGGTCCCGGGTTCGATTCCGGTCAAGGGCACGTACCTCGGTTGCAGGCTCCTCCCCAACCCAGACCCTGGTCAGGGCTCGTGCAGGAGGCAACCAATCGATGTGTTTCTCTCACATCGATGTCTCTCTCTGTCTTTCCCTCTCTCTCCTACTCTCCCTAAAAATCAATGGGAAAATATCCTCAGATGAAGATTAACAACAAAAAACCCTGTGAAACAGGGAAGGGAGTCATGATGAACCTTCGTGTTTTAGGTGGCAAGTCAGCGATGCCAAGAAACTCAAGGACTGCCCGGCCGGTGTGGCTCAGTGGTGAGCGTCGACCTATGAACCAGGAGGTCACGGTTCCATTCCCAGTCAGGGCACATGCCCAAGTTGCACATCCCCAGTGTGGGGCGTGCAGGAGGCAGCTGATGCATGATTCTCTCTCATCACTGATGTGTCTATCTCTCTCTCCCTCTCCCTTCCTCTCTGAAATCAATAAAACCATATTAAAAAAAAAAAAAAAAGAAAGAAAGAAACTCAGGACTGTGACTGGGAGAGGGAACTGTTGACGCACGGGCGGCGGGTCCTCGGAGGTCAGCCCAGGGCAGGTGGCGGGCGGGCACCTGATATACACACCTTTTCGGGGGAGTAATCCGCGCTGAATCCCACTTGGGCCATCTGCATCTGGAAGTTATCGCCTCCTTGCACGGTGCCTGGGAAGCGACAGTTTCCAGAATTCCATCACCGCCAATCATTTTAAAGGAAATTTTCAATCATACACACACACACACACACACACACACACACACACACAATGCTCCGATGTTCAATCACAAATATCGGGCTGGCAGAGTGGCCAAATCACTACAAGTATTCCAACAGACGTGGGAATCCACACTGTGTTTTCCCAATTTTAAAAGTATACATGTGTTAGTAAACAAATTCAAGAATTTCAGAAACTCTATAACAGTGTAAAAAAGTAAAACTTTTACAGTTATGAAAACTATTTGCAGTGCAAAAAGGTAAAACTATTTAGAATTTTAATAGCTGTCACTGAACCGCCCGGAAGTGTTACACACGTGATCACTGTGACCAATAAGCTGAGCTTCTCCGCTTCTCCATGATCGCTCCAGAATGAAACGCGACTGGTCTTTGTTATCTCTTAAACACCGAGTAGCAGGGCTGCGGTTCAGACTTTTAATAATTACTGACATTGGACTACTTTCTTATGTTTACTCGCCATTTGTGTTTTCTTTTAAAAACGACTTAGTCATGTCCTTCGCCTCCTTTTCTCACTGACTCCTCAGAGCTCTTTTCCCAGGAGGCACTCGCAGCGCAGGACGCAGGAGCAGGACGCAGGCCGCGGGGACAGGACGGTAGGTCCCGGGAAGGGCCGGGCGGGGCTGCGGGAGGGAGGGCGCTACCTTCGATGCTGAAGATGTGCTCGCCGATGGTGCCCGCCTTCTCCAGCAGCGCGGCTTCGTCGGACACGTTGAAGAAGTACCTCTCGGTGGGGACACTGGCGATCGCTTTGATTTCTTTTATTAGGTTTTTCGTATCGAGGGCATTTCTGTTTAAGTACCCGAGAACCTTGAAAGCAGAGGGAGAGGGAGAAAAGGTCAGAACCGTGGTGCTTCTGCCTCCCTATTCGCACCCCCAGGACCAGGCCCCCTGGAGAGGTAATCCACACCCCACACCCACAGGACCGAACCAGCAGGAGCAGAAATGGCGCTCAGCCGGTGTGGCTCAGTGGCTGAGCGTCGACCTGTGAACCAGGAGGCCCCAGCCCCATTCCCGGTCAGGGCACAGGCCCGGGTTGCAGGTTCGATCCCCAGTGGGGGATTTGCAGGAGGCAGCCCATCCATGATTCTCTCTCATCATTGATGTTGCTCTCTCTCTGAAATCAATTAAAAAAGTATATTTTTAAGAAGCAAAAACGGTAAACACCTCTTTTTGTGTAAAGTGTCGGGAGCCATGAGAAGGCGGCCTTGGGAGGTGAGGACATAGAGGAGCGTTTACCCCCCACCCCACCCCCACCCCCACCGACAGGGGAGGAACGCCTCACCGCGATGCCGAACCGCAGGATGCTGTCCTCGTTGCACTGCGCGATCACGTCCTTCAGCATGGAGCCGTCGTGTGACTCGCCGTCGGTGACAACCACCATGACCTTGGTGGCGCCCGGCCGGCCGCCAGCAGCTGCCGTGTAAGCGGAGTCTCTGTGGCAGACCAAATGACAGGCTCACTACAGCGAGGACGTTCCACAGGCCTGTCCTCAGCCTTGCGACCACGCTGAGCATAACCTGGGGACTCAGCCTGTCTCTCCCGCCGGCAGAGAAGCGGGTAAGGGCGCCCTGCCTGCAGCTGGAGGGGAACAGGAACGCGGAACTCTGGCCGGGCACTGGCAGGCGTGGCCTACGGCCCTCCCCGCGTGTACGTTGCGGGATGCGTGACCTCTCCTCTGCCATCCCTGAGCTAAGAGTGAGCGCAGGTTACCGCTTCTCCCTGCCTCCCCTCACTGCCAGGCGCGATCGCGGGGGGCTCACCTTGCGAACTGAATGGCCTTGAACGTGTTGGTGAGGTCCCCGCCCTTCTGGACCGTCCTGGACGTGGCTGCGGTCATCTCAGCTTTGGTTTGAAAGGTGTTCAGGTTGAACACCACTCGGGGCTTGTTGGCGTACTGAATGAGTCCCACCTGCGGGAGAGCAGACGTTCTCAGACGCTGGTCAGTAAGTTAGAAGTCATGCTATTTGGCCAATAGAATGAAAACCAAAAGTGCGTTTAGATGTGGGCTGAGAGCTTAAGGGAGCCATTTTCCACTTTGTTTGTAAGGCCAGTTTTTTTCTTCCAGCGAAATGACTCCTCTGTTGGAGGCTGTACGTCAAGCATGTCACACTCGCGGCCACATGCGGCCCACAACAAATATTTCTGCAGCCCAGCCAATAAACGGTAAGAAATGTCATAAAAATTTCATAACTTCATTTTTACAGTATCCTGTTATACACAATTATTAATAATGAACTACAACATTCGCTAATGACTGATTACTATTCATTTGTATTCATTTCCCTTACATGCGGGTGCACCATTTCCCTCCACGAACACCAGCAGCGAATATTTTAGCAGCCGATGGCCACGTCATTAGTCTTGGACTGACTTGTTTGGTGTGCGCAACAGGAAATACTTCACTTTCAGAGAACAAGAAAAATAGGTTTATTTGCATTACGCTTGTTAATTTGTGCAGTTATTCAGTGTCTGGTAAGTTAATGTTCAAGAAAAAATATTAATTTTTATTAAAATGTTCTATTATTTTATGATAACGATGACTCGTTTATTTCAGCCCTTTGTATTCAGCATGTCTCTACCACAATAAACCTACGTTTCTATGAAAATGGAAGCTTTTGGTTTTTTGCGGCCACATGCACTTACACCTTGCTTATGTGGCCCGTGGCAGCCTTGGAGTCTGGCGCGCTTGCTGTATGTGTTTAGCAACAGCACTGATCGACAAGCAGGACGAAGTGCTATCGGATACGATTTGGCCCTCAGGAGAAATAGCTGTAAATGTTAAGCACTGCCCTATAGTATTTTAATGTGGGTAAATATTACAATAAAGTTCATACCAGAAAGATAAAAACATTTTAATTAATGACGGATGCAAACATGTAAACAACTGTGAGCAGCTGTGGATGGGAGAGAACATCTCACCAATTCAGGAGAATTATATAATGAGCAAAGAATAAGGTTCAAGCCCTGGCTGGTTTGGTTGGGTGGATAGAGCGTCGGACTGCGGACTAAAGGGTCCTGGGTTCGATTCCAGTCAAGGGCACATTAAGCCTGGATTGCGGGCTCAGTCCCCAGTGGGGGGATGCAGGAGGCAGCCAATCGATGATTCTCTCTCATACTGGTAATTGATGTTTCTATCTCTCCCTTCCTCTCTGAAATCAATAAAAAATATATTTAATAATAAGCATTCAAGACAACTGATTACTGCTCATAATCGATGCAATCACTTCAGATTATTGTGTTTATTGCACAGGATTTCCTCTCATTGCACTTCAGGTCTGAGACGCGACCTGTGCGTGCGGCCTGGAGCATCTGGGCTTCAGAGAAACGCTCTTCAGAGTCTGATCTGAGAGCTGAGACAGAACAACTTCTCAACAAATGTTCGGCATGTCACCCTAATCCTTCAGCTCAGGGGTGGGGAATGTCCAGCCTGGCCCAGCCAAGGCCTTCGGGGTGAGTTAATGAAATGACCGAATAGAGCAGCTAATTTTTAGGTTGATAATTGGCCCCAGAATGAGTTATAAACATCCAAACGGCCCTTGGCCGAGAAAAGTTCCCCACTCTTGCTTTAGATCAGGAGGCTCAAACACCTCTTTCCACTTCTTTTACTGTCCTTGTTCCCAGCACCGAAATCACCCTGGATGCCTGGGGCTCCCGGAGCAGGAAGTGGGGTGAGAGGCCGCTGGCCCAGGGGCTCTGACACACCATCCTGTGTCAGAAAGGTGAAGGGGCGGGGCCTGGAGGGCTCAGTTCCATCAGCACTTTCTCGAGGTGGAGAAAATATAGCACCGACCGCTGGTTTTAGGTTTTGTAAGACCTGAGAGCGAGGGAAGGACCCCCCAAAAATGGGGAGTCTAACATGAAAAGACAGGACCCGGCCCTGAACTTCGGGGTGAGGAAGGGGAGAGCTGAGCAGGAGGTTTGAGGAGATGAGGTCTAATGGGACGTCCAGGACCCCACTGACAGCGGTCCATGGGCTGCTACAGCCAGAATGACCCCAGAGTGGCAGAGCCAATAGGAAAGGAAGAAAAATCCCCAGAACTTTCAAAATAAGGGCTATTCCCTTTTCCAAAAGCAGAAAGTGTTGCTCCTGAGTTCCGGGTGCCCGTCCCCAGAAGACGGAAAAGCAAATTCAAGACTCCTTCCAGCAGCGGTCGCCAGCCTTTCGGAACCCACGGGCCAGCAGTGTCCGCAGACCACCGGGTGGCGACCGCTGCCTTAAAGCACAGAGAACTACGCAAAGTTAGTGAAGAGGCCTGTCCTGTGTAGGAGGGAGGGGAGACTGGATAAAAGACTAGATGAAACTTAATAAAAGACCATACCGTAATATAAAGTGAAGTTATGCTATCTACAGACTTATTCATAAAAATCCCAGAGTTCCAGGATAACTGGGTAGCAGCAAGGCGTAAAAAAGAGTCATTATCGGTCCACGTAGGTGCAAAGGAAAGATACATATCTGAGTTTAAAATACATTAATAAATTTATGAGTTAGAGGATGAAAAAGGTAAGCAACTAACGAGGGTCAAAATGGAATCCCCATGTCTGACGCCGTCAGAAACAGGATTCCGGCTCGAAGACCAGCCGTGGGCGAAGTGACGTGCAGAATAGCGCAAGCAGTACAAGCGCATTTCACTCTCCAGGTCGGCACTGAGTGCAGTCAACTGGGGACCTGGCAAAGGCGAAGACTTCACACCCAACAGTACTTTCTCGAGAAGAAAGCCGCGGGTGGATGTATGTGCTACTGACATCCGTACCTGTGTCTTCGAGGGGCCTATATCCAGGCCTTGCACAAATTTTTCCAGAAAGTTCTTTACTGCCACCCAGGGGTAGATACTGTTTGATTCATCGCACACAACCACCACGTCGATGAAGGAAGTGCAGGCTGCACAGGGGAAGAGGAGAAACAGATTTCTGAAGTCACTAAAAATGAGCGGTAACCGGGAGCTGAGGGTCGGGGTGCCCACAGGTTTCCCTGCCTTGAATGGCGGCACCGCCAGGGCCCGCCACGCACGCTTCACTCACTCTGCACCGCCGGTGAGAAGCTGCCCAAGAGCTGGAAGTCGGGGCTGACGTCGGAACAAACCCCAGTGGTGTAGTACTGGCTTCCGCACTGCTGTGCCCACAGGGGCCCGCATGTCTGAAAAAAACGAGAACAGTGACAGAACGTGGAAACCATTAGACCCCAACTTCCCCATCTGAGACTCACGCCCATCCCTATCCCCTGCAAGCACCAGGGATTGCCAAGGCCTGGAATTAACAACTGAAAATGCCTTTGATTATTTGTGGACTCAAATGAACTGACCAACAAAATAAGACCGGAAGCAGAGAACAGACTGACACGCCCCGACGTGGGGTTGCGGGGATGAGAAAAGACACACCAAAGGACGTATCTACTTATAGGCACAGCCCATAGACACAGGCAATAAGGGGTGAAGACCTGGGCTGGGGGGCAGGGACTGGAAGGAGGGAGAAAAATGGGAGACATCTGTAACACTATCAACAATAAAAAACATATTTTAAAAAATGCCTTTGTGGGACGGGGTGAAGGACGGACAGGAGGGAGGGAGTGGTGGGGAGGAGCTGTGGCCAATGGCAGGCTTCGGGAGGCGGGACTCTGGCACTTCCGGGGCAGGTGTCAGTGCAGGGGGACCCACCGGGTCCCCCACCAAACCAGATAAAGGGATGCTTCCATCCCAGGGGACACCCAGGAGGAAAATGAGTGCAGAGCTTTATGTGCAAAGTGAAGACGACCACCCTGCCTGTCTTGAAGGTTGTTGTGAAGGTTACATGGGTCTCTAGGTATGAAACACCCAGAACAGCGCTGGGCCATCAGCAAGACGGTGGGACTGTCAGCAGCATCCTACGTGGTCTTTCCGGAACGCGGGCCCCTCCTGTCCCCTCCATGTGGAGTATCAGCAGAAACCACAAACCCATGTCCCCCAGGGCCAGGCAGGGAACCCAGAGGAGAGCTCGGGCCGGGGATAGAGGCCAAGGTGCATGAGGAGGTCACCCCGCACACGCAGGGGCAGGGCACCCCGGCTCCGCCCAGGGACAGCCAGGCCACCCACATTCTCAAGGAGAGTCGGAGAAGACAAATTTCGTGTGAAAATCCACAGTTTCAAAAAACCACTCTGCTAAACCACCACAGACGAGGCTCATGTTTAGCTTTGCTGGGGAGCAGTTCTCTGAGGACATCGGGGTCCATGTCCACTCCCCCAAACTTGCGGTCAGCAGGCTGGCCGGGCCTGCGTGCCCACACCCCGTACTCCACCCTGAGTCCCCCCCATCAGCCCAACCCCCAACCTCCCGCCCGCCGGCCCTGAGAGCCAGACCTCCCGAGTCAGTCACACGGGAAATGCGGCTCAGACAACATGGGAACCGTTAGATGGAAAAGGGAGGCCGTGGGGAAGAGCCGGCCAGCCAAGAGCTTAAAAAGGAGGCTACAGAGCTCACCGTGAAGCTGTGGGCCAATCACTAAAACTGAACCGAAAAGTGCGGTCCTGCAGAAAGCCGCTGGAAGAATAAAGGGAAATTTATTGGACCGGTTTCACCTTCGGGAGCCGGCAGCCGCTGCGGTCATTTTTCATGCTCAGTGCACAAGGTTGGTTTTCCCTATAAAAGGGTTCATTTTGCCAATTATGGGAAAAATCGTAATTGATACCTTTGGCAATTTACTAGATAACAGACACCAATCACTGATTCCTAGATCCCCATCCCCCCCATTGGATGTTCCTGATCATCTTGAAAAATAATAACTCATGAAGTATTCAAAAAAACTTTTTAAGCAAAGGAAAACAGCACCAAGAAGTTGAAATTCAAATGTGCCAGTTGCCACTGCCAGAACCATTCCTGCTTTAAGCCCAGAATTCAAGAAGGCTCAAAAAATGTGATGACGGTCCGTCTTTTCCACAAAAGTCCTGAGAGTATCTTAAAATTTTGATCTCTTACGTATGTAAAGGAAACTGGCTTTTTTTCTTTCTTCTTCTTTTTTTTTTCCCTCTCACACACCTCTCTCTTCTTCCCTCCCTCCCTTCCTCTCTTGGCACATGGCTAAATTAATCTCTCAAATTCTCTTGCAACTTCATTTTACTCCGTCTGAAGTTACGGGTTAAAAACTTTTGAAGCACATTCCATAATCCCCATGTCTCAATATATTTCTCTTTCTGAATTTATTCAACTTTAAAAACAAAGAAGCAAAAAAAAAAAAGGTGAAGGCGATCGATTATAAGGACTTAGAGATATCAGAAAGCATGGCGATCCATGGCAACATCCATCCCGCGTTGATGCAACACGTATCATAAGCAAAACCTGATTCCCTTAGGGGTACAAAGTCTGTCTGAATCCTAACATCTATTGGTGAAAGTAGAAGGACATGGCTAAAATCGATTCTATTTTCAGAAGAAGCCAGCTATACACTTAGGCTTTGAGGTCAGCATGTCCTAGGTGAAACTAACGTAAAGTTAAGCTTCTAAGACGCTTCTAACATGACAATACAACTCGGACACACCTGTAAGCGCTGGTGGGAATGTGAAATAAAACTAGGTTTTTATTTGCCTCTAATCTCTTCCTGCGTGGTGCAATGTTTTCACCTTTTATATAGCCCCATCTATTCAACAATTTCCCACAGTATTTCTTGGGTTAGTTCTAAGCTCAGAAATCCTTCCCTCTCGCAGAAAGACCCCACTTTCTATGTGTCTACGGCAACTCTTCACGTCACTCACAGTGTGTTTGGATGTGACGTTATGAACAGTCGACTGGCCCAGGGCCTTGTTAAGCAAGGCATTCTCCCTCGCTGTGATGTCTCCTCCCAGCATCCCAGGAAGTAAATGCGAGGAAACACCAACGTGAAAGAAGAAGGGAGACCGAGCCACACAACTAGCACCAGATTAGCAGACATCAGAGGAAATGAAACACAGACGTGCATTCCAACTCTCAGACCTCCTTTCGGAATCAGCAGCACCTGCCCCGAGGGTCCCCGCGGGGAGGAGCCCTTCTCAACGGAGACCAGGCGCCCTTCCCAGGGCCACAGACTCCGCTCCTCTCACTCCCCTTTCCAGAACATTCTGGGCAGTGGCTGTGCCGAGGATCTGAAGAAGCCTGCGCATCAGCAGGAGGCTCCTGGTGGGGACAGCCACACAGCGTGACAGTGCACCCCCAGGTCTGCCTCCCGGGGGGCTGGGGAGACGCGTGACAGTGCACCCCAGGTCTGCCTCCCGGGGGGCTGCCCCAGGTCTGCCTCCCGGGGGGCTGGGGAGACGCGTGACAGTGCACCCCCAGGTCTGCCTCCCGGGGGGGCTGGGGAGACGCGTGACAGTGCACCCCCAGGTCTGCCTCCCGGGGGGGCTGGGGAGACGCGTGACAGTGCACCCCCAGGTCTGCCTCCCGGGGTGGTTGGGGAGACGCTGAATGCACGTGTCCCGGAGAAGGACGGGGTTAAGGATGGGGCGTGAGAAGGGGACACTCACGAGAAACCCTCCGGTGCCCGCGTTCCTGGCGAGTGTCAGGCCGAGGCTCATGTTGGTTTTTATCTCCGTCACGTTGGGGATGCTCACGGAAGCTTCAAGGGAAAAGTGAAAGCGTGTTACGTTTCCTGCCTTCATTACAGCTGCGGGAAAACCCAGGCGCACGCCCGCTTCTGTGCAGCGCTGAGCTGCGTGCCGCCCGTCGAGTGCCATGTGCACGTGACCAGCGCAGGGGCGTGAGCGGCCTCGGTGACCGGCAGCTCACTCGCCTGCGAGGCTGGGCAGTGAGCTGTGGGGGTGGGTCTGGAGGAGGCGGCACCCGGAGGCCTTGCCATTGAACAATGCCACAGCGCCGGCCAAGCCGAACACATCTGAGCGCGCCTCTGGCTTCCAGTTTGCCTTCCCTGTTCTTTCCAAGGCCCGAATACTCTACCTAATGCTCCATTCTGCACCAGAAAGAAATACCCATAGAGCACTATGAAGAAGGACCACAGGGCCTGGCTGGCGAGGCTCAGTGACTGAGCATCGACCTAGGAACCAGGAGGTCAGGGTTCGATTCCTGGTCAGGGCACATGCCTGATAGCAGGCTCCATCCCCAGTGGGGGGCGTGCAGGAGGCAGCTGATCCATGATTCTCTTTCATCAATGATGTCTCTCTCTCTCCCCCCACCCCACTTCCTCACTGAAATCATTAAAAATATATATATTTTTTAAAAGAAAGCCATATAGTCAAATCTGGCTCAAAGCAATAATGAGCCGACTTTGGAAGGAGAGCCCGAGACTAGCCCGTCACATGATAAATCTCTCCAGCCCGTCGCCCGGGAAGTGCCAGCTCGGCCTCTCGGGGTTACCTGGAGGGGAGGCCCTAGCCCAGGGGTGGGCAAACTTTTTGACTCGAGGGCCACAATGGGTTCTTAAACTGGACCGGAGGGCCGGAACAAAAGCATGGATGGAGTGTTTGTGTGAACTAATATAAATTCAAAGTAAACATCATTACATAAAAGGGTACGGTCTTTTTTTTTTTTTTTTAGTTTTATTCATTTCCAACAGGCTGGATCCAGCCCGCGGGCCGTAGTTTGCCCACGGCTGCCCTAGAGGAATTCCCTTTCCTTGTTTCTGAGAGGAGGGAGCCACTTCCCAGGGACCAGGGAGAACTCCACCCACTTCACTCTGCTCTTGACTGACAGTCCCTGCCTCTGACCGCCTCCCTCCACCCTCCCTATGAATAGGACCGGCTCCTGGCTCCTTTAGGTCAGAAAAGCTCTGTTTTCCTAACTCTGCTCACCACTCTCCTCTGGAAATGGAGTCCCCTTTCCCTCCTTGACCCTGGTCACCTCACACGTGCTCCTAAGCCTCGCTCTCCCATCAGCCCTGTCGGGGTGATGCCCCAGCCAAGACAGTGTCAAAACAGGGCGACACGGCTTCTGCAGAGAAAAACAGGAGAACTGTGCGTATGGTTTTACTTTTTAAATCTGTTATTTATAATTTTTAAAAAATAGAATGTATGCCTCTGGGGTGAGTGTTTAAAAGCTAGAGGTGTTATGGAACGTTGGGGCTGGTAGAATAAAATTTTCGAGCACTCACCCCGAGATATGTTTCTATTTTTAGAAACTGTACACTTACCCGTGCCTGCAGCGAGGGGGAGGGTTGCAGACGTCTGGAGAGCACGGATGTAGATGACCCCCCACCCCAGCCACGGGCCCTATTGGCACTCACCCCACTGCACTGAGACTGGCGTTACTGAGCACCTGCTAGACCCAGAAACGGTGCTGGCAGCCAGGGAGACAGGGATGGGTCAGAAACACCCGCCCTGGTCTCTAAGCCTTTGCCACTGGTTTGAATCTCTCCTTCCCTCGATTTCCACAGCACTGTTTCCCTAATCCATGCCTTCTTTTTTTTTTTTTAAATGTGTTTTTATTGATTTCAGAGAGGAAGGGAGAGGGAGTGAGAGACAGAAACATCCATGATGAGAGAATCATGGACCGGCTGCCTCCTGCACGCCCCCCACTGGGGATCGAGCCCGCAACCTGGGCCTGTGCCCTGCCCGGGAAGCAAACCCTGACCTCCTGGGTCCTGGGTAGATGCTTGAGTCCTGAGCCTCGCGGCCGCGCCACGCCTTGGTTCCTCAGGGCTCCGTGACCCCTCGGCACTGGCTCTTTCGACTGATGACGAGGAAGGAATTGAGCAACATGTGGCCTGCCCCGGGACGTGCTGAGTGGAAGCGTGACTCACTCAGGCTTCCAGTAACTTTTAGGAGCTTCCGCATTAATAGAAAGCGTCTGCGAGGAGGGAATGAAAACAGCATTCCCAACCATTTCACATCATTTCCGGGCGCGAATGTTCTTATCAGAATGGAGTCATTCAGACACAGAGCCCCGACGTCAGCCTCAGGGCTGACATCTCTACACTTCATGGGGTTTCTTTTGGGGAGAGGGGCTGGGGGGTTTGGGCAGCCTTCGATTTCTGTAAATTATCAGAAAAACGCTCCTGAACGCGGGTGGGAACCGGCTCCCGTCTGGGGGCGGCCGGTGCAGGGGGCAGCCCGTTCCCACGCGTCTCAGTAAACCAGCCTTCACACTCGGTGGGAGATCTGGCTACAGTTGGGCCAATACAACCGAGGACAGGAAGGCCAGGAAAGCTGCCTGCAGTTCTTTCAGACAGAACCATGACGGGTCCTGTCACTTCTCCATCGTGTGTAACACAGCAGGTTCCGCTGGCTGTGAGAAACCACGCTCTGCCCGCAGCTCACCTTGCAAATTGAGCTTCTCGCACGCGGGCGTGGGCAGGTGGAGCGGGCATCTGTACACGTCGCCCATGCGGTTGTCGGGGGAGCCACTCCACGGCGAGCCGACCAGCAACCTGCGGACGGGAGTGCGTTCTCAGGAGATACGAGACGTTAGCTACTGCTTCCCACAGAGAACGCTGACCGCAGAGCGTGGAGAACCACCTTCGATGTCCACTTCTCACGACTGGTCCTATTTGTTCAGCTATAAATCGGTCTCCTTCCTTCCTCTCTGCTCCTCAGGGGGCTGGGCGGGGCCTGTAATGCGGCTGTCTGGCCCCGGCGCCCTGGAGCCTCTCTGAGCAGAGCTGAGCAATGGGCGCATAACACCAGCCCCAATGGCAGCCGCACGGAAAGGATTTGGCTATCTGTCTATGAAACTTAAATCCTTCCATAAGCCATTGGTACAAATATTTTACCCATTAAACAGCATGTGCCCCAGGCTGCGTTGCAGTGGATTAAAAAGAGCCCAAGGCACACTTCTGTTTACTTAATCTGATAAAACTGTTTAAAATACGTGACAGCTAAACCAACAATACAGATGAGTGACAAGATATGGGTAAGTTCCCCTCTGGAACAAATACAGGCTGGTTGAAGCATGGAGGTGGCCGTCAGCATTCTTAGCAGAGGGGACCAGGACAATCCTGGGAGCAGGAAAACACGGAGCATGTGACTGTCCCTGGGTCCATGGTAAGTCCCCCTTATTCAGCTGATAGAATTATTCTGGAGGGAATCTCGACTTTCCTAAGTCTGCCCGACAGGAAGAGGAGAGAGGCTGGTGTATTTACCCAGAGGATTTCATGTGACAACTGGAGAGGAGGAGGCAGGCGAGGAGAGGGTGGGACAGGTCGGGACAGGATAAGCGAATGGGGGAGGGGGGAGGGCCCTGTGGGGCGTGGCCAGCCTCTGCAGGCGTGGACCGCACCCACGCAGACAGGCAGGCAGACCAACAGCAGCTGAGCCCCGCCTGGGAGCGCTCTGCAGGGAGCTGGCTGCCCTCCAGGGCTGCCCAGAATAGCGCTCACGCTCACCGGCCACTTACCTTGTGGCCAGTGATTATGGAGAATTCCAAAACAGCGGTTCGCCCACCCCCTGAAATTCTTTGTCAGGTGGGTAAACAGTGTTTAAGGCGGTCTGGGTTGTTTCGCACCCACAGTCCCAGGCTGTTGTAAATGCCTCCCTTGGTCTTTGAGTCTCTAAACTCCCCAGTGTCCCTTCAGTGCTAGCAAGGTCCCAGGGTTTACAGCAGGTGCTTAACATTGTCCTCTTAGATCCAGCAAATGCTGATTGCGGTCCCGGGGGCTGACACAGTTCACAGCTCCGGGGTACTGTTCCCACATGAACGGGGTGCCCTGGCCCTGTCCACCCCGGGAGGGTGCGCGTGGGGCCAACCCTGCTGTGGCCAGACTTGATTCAGCCACTGGGATACCTCGGTGAATACGTCAGTCAACACGTCCTGGCCATGCCCGGCTGGTTGCTCAGTGGTTGAGCATGGTCCCCAGTGTGGGGCCTGCGGGAGGCAGCCAATCGATGATTCTCTCTCATCATTGATGTTTCCCTCTCTCTCTCCCTCTCCCTTCCTCTCTGAAGTCAATAAAAAAATATTTTTAAAAATATAAGTGCATTTAAAACATTTTATCTCTATTTTCACTCATCTACCCAGATTTGTTCTTTATTAGCTCTGTCTGCTTCAGGAAACTATGGAAGCTGTGTCTGTGTCCCCTCATTTGCCAAGGGGGCAATGATTTTACAAAGCTCTCAGGAGCATTACGAGTATTCTGGGTCTGGAGAAGAAAGAACACCCAATGAATACCGGGCACTGTTATGCCAACATCCCATATATATATGCCAGTCTGCGGTCTGCTCTAGAGCTGAATGCTTCCTTGTTAGTGTTTATCTAACATTCTGCTGCAGACAGTCCATTACATTTACAACACACGGAGCTTAGTTACGTGTCTCCTTAATTCTAACTGTGATGTGAGCTCACACAGAGATGGGTGTTTTTTGGCCGTGACACAAGTTCATTCTCGTCCCCTTTTCTGCAGGAACGTCTCGGGAACAAAGGAACTGTTCCTGCAGCTGGAAATACCTGGCTTATCAGCCAGGCCCGGCCTCAGCGGCTGCACGAGCTCACGACGCTGTCATAGAATGAGCTCAGCTCGTGCTGGGGGAGGCCTCGGGGGAGACCAACAGCCCAGTGTGTCTCCCCGGCACGCCCAGGAAGCAACCTGACACCCCCCTCCCCCCGCCCCTGTGCATTGTGTGCGATAAGGATCATGTCACTGCACTTGAACTTCCATGGGGGACGACCCAGGAGAGTGCGCAGGCCACAGGTTCACAGGGGACGGGGCGCTCGGGGGCTGTGCTCAGGGTCACCTGCCCTGGGAACCAGCCGGCTCCCCTGAGACAGCTCAGAAGGCTCTGGAACTCTCGAAGCCGGGTCACCACTATTTCCAGAGTAAATTCCTCAGCGTAGTAAAAGGATAATGGATAAAACCAGGACCAGGTTGTGCTAAAGCCTCATAGATGCCAACGTAAAAACGTGCCTATACATTCACATACACCTGGGCTGTGCACAGCTGGACTTGGACTTCACAGGCAGCGGAGTGGGATCTCAGAACGACCAGAGCTGGGAGCGAGGCGCCGGGAGGAATGAAGGGCTGAGGGGGCCGTCGGGGCTCAGCAGAGTGAGTGAGCAGAGCAACCCCAAGCAGCGGCTTCCCAACAGGCCGGGGGGATCAAATCAAGCTGTGCATGTGTGTGCGCGCGCACGTGTGTGTGTGTGCGTGCATGTGAGTGTGTCTGAGCACATGTGCATGTGTGCGCAGGTGAGTGTGCGTGCATGAATGAATATGCATGCAAGCGTGAGTGCACATGTGTGCGTGCATGTGAGTGTGTGTCCGCGCACGTGTGTGTGTGTGTGTGCGTGCGTGTGAGGGTGTCTGAGCACATGTGCATGTGTGCGCAGGTGAGTGTGCGTGCATGAATGAATATGCATGCAAGCGTGAGTGCACATGTGTGCGTGCATGTGAGTGTGTGTCCGTGCACGTGTGCATGCATGTGTGCCTGTTTGTGTGTGTGCATGTGTGTGTGTTATGGATACAAGGTCTAAAGACAAGGACTTACAGTTATTACAGGAATTCGCTTTCTGAGCCTGAGTGAACTTGACCGCTACAGAGGGAAAGCTGATGCCCAAGCAGCCCCTCCCACACCTGTTCCACCCCTGAGGTCCGCGGAACTGTCATCCTCAGGAGTGGGAGGGATCAGCGCCACTGTCCACACACACACACACACACACACACACACACACACACACACGCGCGCGCGGACTGTTCCCGACTCTCGCCGCGGCCACCGGCCCTGCAGGGGGAGCACCGGGGCCTGGACTTGGGTGTGTGCCCTTGACAGTGGCTTGGAGGCGGGAAGGACTGGTGTGCTGAGGGCAGAAGCAGCCAGGGCACTGGAGCCCGTGACCACGGGGAAGGGGAAACAGGAGATGGAGCGGCCGACAGAGACCAGGCCGTGCCGCAGGCTTCGAGGACTTTCACTTTTTCCGACTGCAGTGGGCAGCCTCAGGGGGCGTTGGTCTGGTAGTGCCGACTCCTGTTTGAAAAGTTCCCTCTGGCTTCAGGGAGAAGAGGGAGGAGGTGCTGAGAAGCTGCGGGCTGTGGGCTCAGGTGTCTGGGGGGAGGGCCGCCAGGGTTGGCCCTGGATGCCACATGGGGAAGGGGAGAGGCAGAGGAGTCGGGGACTTGGGGCCTCGGCGGCTGGTGCAGGAATCAGACAGCTGCTCCTCCGCAGCCCAGTGCGCTGTGCGTCTCTATCAGGCACTAGAGCAGACGTGACAGGCGCCTGCAGCTCAGGACAGAACAGGGACGGAGCCGCGACATCGGCGTCAGCAGTGTGTCCCTACATTCCAAGGCCAAACTACACAACCACAACACCTTTGTGTCCTTAGCCTCCTAGGGTCTATGGTTCTCAAAGGATAAGGAGGTACTTGTTAGAGATATCCTCTCTTGCCTCTCTCTCTCCGTCTCTCTCTCTCTTCCTCTCATCTCATCTCTTCTCTTCTCTCTCCCTCTCCCCCACCCCCGAACCCCAAATGATGGCAGTGATTGCTCTCGCGGGCCCTGGTGTCCACCCAGACTGCCCTGACCGCATTCCTCCCCGAGGCTCCGGCATCGGGACGGCTCTTCTGCGGCCTCTTCACCTCCACCCCGAGACCTGGCTCAGGATTCGCCTCCGCCGCGGCCCCTCCAGACACCCGCTGCCCTCTCCCGTGGCCACGGCATCTCGCCCCAGTCGCAGGCAGCCATGCTCCACAGTGTGAACTCCCTGGACGCTGTGTCCCTTTGACTGCTTTTCTAGAGCATCCGACAGACGCTCACGCAGGAAAGAAGGCCAGGAATGACAGCTCTCAGGCGACAGGCCCACAGCAGCCCGTTTGTCACTGCGAAGACCCTGGCTGGGAAGCTCCCGGGGAGTCCTCTGCGGCCCCGCGGGTGAGGGTCCCTCAGGACTCCTGTCCACCAGGGGGCAGCAACTCCGGCGGAGTGGACCCAGGGCTCTTCTGCCTAAAGACAACCTTCAGAATCATCTGAGTTTATTTTCATAGTTACCAGGGAAAACGGGCCCAGCAGTGGGGCATATATTTCCAGATCCATGAAGGTGGCTGTATATAAACGGGTCCATGGTTTGTAAATGTGATCATTACACAGCACTCAGGGCACACTGGGGGGAAAATAAAAGATGCCAGGTGCACTAGAGAAAGTGCCTTTGTAACTGTGGGTGGATGCGTGAGGACTCTTCTCACACCAGCAGGGAAGGCTGATTTAGAATGAAACCAGTAGACAAAGCCTTGACGAAAGAGACAATTTCGGGAACTCGTCTACCTGCTAGAAATGCCCCGGCCAGCATCGGCTACTGAAAGGTTAAAACTCAACAGAGACAAACTTACAGACAAAGAAATGGAGATAAATCTACCTATTATCTATCTATCATCTATTATCAATCTATCTATATCTATCAATCATCTATCATCTATCTATCTATCTATCTATCTATCTATCTATCTATCATCTTCTATTAAGTGCCAAAACTGGTATTATGAATTTGCTATGGCATATGTAGAGAAAATGTTCTCTCCAGATTTTCAGAAAATAGCACTATCAATTCCATCAATTAGCAATCTGAGAGTTATCAACTCGCAAAGAAGAATCCTCCATTTAAAGATGCTTGAGGCCTCCTCATCAGTAAATAGTCATGACCCCACCAGAGCAAGCAGTTGCTATCCAATATTAAATGTACTTCGTGTCTTTATTGAAACAATGAAGAAGAGAGTGTTCTTACCAGCTGCCTTTTGGGTTGATGAACTGCTGCACCGCGTAGCCAAACTGGGCGTCGGCAGGCCCGGAGAAGACCTTCGCGTCCAGGAGGCCCACGTTGTATGCCACACAGCAACGAAGGACGCCTAGCAAGGAAAACAAGGACATGTCCATGTACACCCTGTGAATACAACCTATACTCTAACTCTCCACGGCCACTTCAAAAACAGCTCGCTTGACATAATTCTTCTCCTCCTCAGTTTGCCAAGAAATAGTAGCTCCTGCTTTTAGGCACTGACTTGGGGCCCTGAGAATTATCAGCTCTCAAAGAATAGAAAGTCCTGGCACCAGGCTTAGCACTTTATATTCGTGATTCATTATCTCATACATCTTTACAAGCAACCCTGGGAGACGGCTGCTGGTAGCACCACTGTTTTCCAGGGACCTCGGATGCTCCCGGAGATAAGGAGTCGCACAGGTGGAGGTGATGAGAGCGAGGAGAGGGTTCGAGCACAGGACCCCTGCACAGGAGCTTGGCCTCTACCCGCAGGTCCCCTGCAGGGATTTCTGAGTGACTCCAGTCAGAGACGAAGCCTCCCACAGGCAGGGCTGATGCGTCTCCTATTTCTGCTGAATCTCCCTGCAGATCCTGACACGGAGTCTATGCAATGTCTACTGAAAACACGCGGTTGACACATCGAAGAAGCAGAAAAAACCACAGCTCCCGGAAAACTGTGTCATTCCTTCCAGGAGGAGGTCCTTATTGAGGAGGGGGTTTTGCTTTGGGAGACTTCTTCCTGACACTCAAGGAACGATCATTGCTTTCAAAAACAAGAAAGACCAGAAAGGATGAAGCCTCGGTCGAGAGATGTGAAAACACCTGGTTTCCAATGGGAAGGGGACGGGGGGGAGAGAGAGTGGTAGATTCTGCGCCAACAGCATGAATGTCAGCTGCCCTCCATCCTGTCCTTCACCCTGTCCTCCACCCTGTCCTCCATCCTGTCCTTCACCCTGTCCTCCACCCTGTCCTTCACCCTCACCCTTAACCCTGTCCTCCACCCTGTCCTTCACTGAAGGCAGACTGAACTCCTTAAAACCGACATCAAAGTTCCATTAATATGTGTTGTCACCAAGGAATGTCCCACTGTCCGGGCACATTGAAGAGCATGGTAATTCATGTCTAGTATATCAGGTACAGACATCACGGAGGGAAGCTTGCCCTCTACTGCGCCTGTGCACTTCTGGGAGCAGCCGCTCCGAAGGAGTAAGGCATCCCCCGTGCTGCCCTGGGACGGAGAGCAGCTACTCTCCCAGTTCCAGGGACCTGTTCGCTCTGCAGTGCAGCTCATGGGTTTGCAGACATGCGTGCTCCCAGGGAGGAAGAGCAGATAAGACTCCAGAAATGCCCTGCAGAGCCCACACAGGCCTCCCCTCGCCACCTGCTCCTCAGCCCTGCTGCTCAGGGGCACCGCTGTTCATCTGTACTTTTGAGGAAATAAATTGCAAAAGAAAACGAAGTCCCGAATTAATCAAAGAACCGGGAACGGACATCCAGAAACCTGGCATTTCCAATAGCCCGCTCACCGCCACCCGTTGTGCACGCTCAGAAACGCTGTTGGGATGTGTCACCCATCCTCTGACGTGAAAGCGCGGGGCGATGGTGAACCGCTCCCCCACTTTTACCAGGAAAACATCTGATGCTGGAAGGACCACACAGGACTGCGCGTGTAATGACCTCATTCTCCCTGCTAGACCCTGGCAGAGTGGGTGGTGACATGGAATCACGATGGAGCTCATTTTATCATCCAGCAGCCACATTTCATTTTATCTGTGTGTACATAGTGTGCGTGCATGTGTGTGTGCATGTGTGTGCTATGTGCATGTGTGCATGCATGTATGTGTGTGCGTGAGTGTGCATGCGCGTGTGTGTTATGTGTGAGTGTGTGAGGGTGTGAGTGTGTGTGTGTGAGTGTGTGTGTGTGTGTGTGAGTGTGTGTGAGTGTGTGAGTGTGTGAGTGTGTGATGTGTGATGTGTGAGTGTGCGCGCACACTCTGAGGCGGAATCCCCAGGTCAGTGGACACAGGGGTCACTGCTGAGGGAGGAGGAGCACAGTCCCTGGGGCCCCGTGGGAACTGGTCCTGCGACGCTGCAGGGCGCTGGCAGGTGCGGGGACCTAGGACAGCGAGCTGGGCACCACAGGGGCAGCGGTCACCACGACACAGGGGGCCGCTCTCAGGAGTCAGTGAGGTCCCCAGGAGACAGGCTGTCACCTAACCAGGTCCTGGACCGGCCAGCTGGGACCTGTCCTGGGGAAAGTTTCCCCCGCCCCCTCCCCCACGGGTCTGGGAACCTAGGAAACAAGTTACCTGTTTCCCAAATACAAATATGACGGTGCGATAGGCCGGCGCAGCCATTTCTGGCGAAAGGGAGACATTAAAGGAGCAAAGGGACAGATCTGTGTGCTGCTTGTACACACATATGTGTACGCACACATGCACACTTTACTGCTTGTTTAGAACTGTAGCGGACATGGAGCTTGTTTTCATCCGGCGCAGAAGGGCTCTGGGAGGAAGCCGGACTGTATTTGGGGCGATGGGGGGGGGGGGGGCAGGAGCTGCCAGAGCTCCAAGCACAAGCATTTCTTTCCTTTTGTCCATCCTCCCCCAGGGCATTTCCCACTGAGTCTCAGAGAGAGTGGAAGCGGGCGGGCGGGAGGGACAGAGAGGGAAACATTGATGTGAGAGAGACATCCATTGGTTGCCCGAGCCCTGACCAGGGCAAGAGCCTGCAACCCAGGTACGTGCCCTTGACCAGAACCGAATCCGGGACCCTACAGTCCGCAGGCCGACACTGTCCACTGGGCCACACCGGCGAAGACAGCGTTCCTTTAAACTGAAAAAAACCCTCCTACTGGGCAAGACCAAAGTGGATCACAGTGCGAAGAACCGCCTGCCCCGGCACGTCCCCCTGCAGGAGCCACTGCTCTGTCTGCGGGAGCCTGCCCAGGCGCCCACCTCCCTGCGCTGGGACCACGCACAGACCCTCTCCGCCCGGTGCCCAGGGATGGGCTCTCCGCCCGGTGCCCAGGGATGGGCTCTCCGCCCGGTGCCCAGGGATGGGCTCTCCGCCCGGTGCCCAGGGATGGGCTCTCCGCCCGGTGCCCAGGGATGGGCTCTCCGCCCGGTGCCCAGGGATGGGCTCTCCGCCCGGTGCCCCAGGGATGGGCTCTCCGCCCGGTGCCCTAGGGATGGGCGCGAGGAAGACCTCTCCGCTTTGTGTTTTACTCTCAGCATCACTGCGCGCTCCTGAGGCCGCAAACGTCTCCCTGAGAAATGCTAACGGCGCAGCCCCGTCCCCTCCAACGCCCCACCACCCGGGGCGTTTCCACGGAAGCTCCCGAGACCGCGGACGGAGGAGAGGACGCGGCCTCGCGGCCCTTGCTGAGTCATCCCCAGAGCGCACCACAAGAGCCAGGGAGCAGTATCAGCCCGGACCCCCAGGAAGCCACAGCAGCAGGAAGTGGGGTTACTCAGGCCCTGAAACTGAGAAAACTGCCTGCAGACTCTGTAGTCAGCTCATCCTCCCCCAGAACGGGGAGCGGGGGGTGGGGGGGCAGCGGGACGCAGTCACGGTCCGTTAGATCACTCGCACACAGACCGCAGGAACCCATCGTCAGTGCGCGGTCTCCACGAGAGAATGATAAAGATAATAAAGCAGAAGTCGTGTGGAACGCCCCCTCCTCTCAAAATAAAGCAACCACTTAGAAAGTGCAGGCTACTGGGGAAGGACCACGATGAGAAGGACCTGGGCCCGAGGCCTGGGTTACGGCTTCAGGGCTTTAAGGAAGGGCAGAACCACTCGCACAGAACAGTCCCCACAGCCCCTCAGGACCAGCGGTGGGGCATTCCCGTGTTCGGTCCTAGCCTATGTAACACAAGGCTAATATGCAAATTGTCCCCTTAACCGGGAGTTCGACCAGGGGGCGGGGCCGGCCGGCCAACGGAGACCACAGCCCCTCCCCACAACTGGCCCAATCGGGGCGGCCAGGCCCCACCTGTGCATGAATTCGTGCACCGGGCCTCTAGTTAAGAAATAAAGAACAATGTGATTCTTCTTTAAAAGTCTTTGTTTTGCGTGTCAATTTTTTTAAAATTTTTATTTTTAAAAAAATATATTTTATTAATTTTTTAAAAGATATTTTTATTGATTTCTGAGAGGTAGGGAGAGGGAGAGATAGAAACATCAATAATGAGAGAGATCAGCTGCCTCCTGCACGCCCCACATGGAGACCAAGCCCGCAACCCAGGCATGTGCCCTGACTGGGAGCTGAACCATGACCTCTTGGTTCATAGGTCGACACTCAACCACTGAGCCACGCTGGTCGGGCAAAAGGTAGACATTTTTATATGGTAACATAAAAAATGTATGCTGAGCAATAGAAAGAATAAGAATTAAATTAAACACGAAGCACCATTTTACATCCCTCAAACCATGAAGTAAAAAAATAAAATAACTACAAAAAGTGAATTAAAATCTCGCATTGGTGAGCAAGGTACACACACCGCTGATGACACGGAGCACCCTGCAACCAGGGCTGGAGGTGCTGCGTCTGGGACCAGGGGTGCCCTCCAGGAAGTGGCCGAAGGGAAGAGGGGAAAGGCTCCTGGGGCTATATTTATAGCTCGTATGCACAGCAAGGACAAAACCCACAGGAAGCAGCCTACACATCCGCCAGGAGACAATAGCTAACCCCGCAGGACGCCACAACACAAACTTCAAGCCTGATCCTGAGGCTGCAGGAAACGCACACGCGAAAGATAGCAAGTGAGGGCGAGTTCGCCACTTCTTTTCATGTAAATGGTGAGTCTGTCCATGAAAAAGCACATTTACACTTAAAAATAGCAAAGGAAAGATATGTAAATATTTCCTATTAAGATGACTGTAGCGTGTGTCATTCTTTTCTAGAAAAATATTAAAACTTCCTGCTTTATAAAGAAAAGTGAAATTATTATAAACTGAAATCATTAATCAAGTTTAGTGTTTCAGTGACCACTCCCCCCCCCCCCCCCCCAGTTTTCTGAATTCTAGTTTATTTTTATGTTAACTTTTTCTTTTTTTTTAACCTATTATTTTCTGGGCGCCCAC